ACGTTTATTGTGCCACAAGTTTATAAGTATTATCGATTGAGACAAAACCATGTCCATAGTGAAAAACAGTAGGTATCTTTCCAAATAATACTTGCATGTGTAGACATTTAATCAGGTCACTAATTTCCTTGGAGGTGGGAGCTCTGGAAACCTGTAATACGGGTTTCTTCGGAAGCCTATCTCAGGCTCCAGTCTCTCACACACAATGTAGCATAATTAAAGATTGATTAATTAATTAAATATAAATATTGTGTAACACCTTAAATGTAAATATCAATGTAGGCTATCGTTTTTATACTTAACAGTTGGGCGTTGGCACCCCTGGCGATTGACAGGACCTTACTCTACAGTGGCGCCATCTTGATGAGTGCAAATGCGATAGTCCTCCTACCACTTTCGCGCTCACCAGTTGGTGCCACTGTCTTCGCTACTAGCAAGTGACAGGACCTTACTCTACAGTGGCGCTAACTGGTGAGCGCTAAAACGATAGCCCTCATTGATGTTGTGTGTGAGAGATAAATAAAAAATATATTATTTTTTTTAGACTACGATATACCGAGATAGAACTTATTGTAGTCTCTAAGTTTTTTATTTCAGTTTTCGGTTTAAGGTTTTCTACCACTTGCATACCTACTATGGCGTGTTACTTGACTCTACAGAAGATAGGTACTTACAACTTAAGTAAATGCTTACTCTACTCAACGCAACTCGCATGAAAACAATATTGCAAACTCACCAATAGTAACTATGGCTGAAGACCATTTTTGCAGGCTGCGGTAGTGTTTTCAGTCTTGCTTACTATATTAATATTATTTTTGATTTTCACTCAAACAGTAAGTAGGTAGACTATTCTATTCGATCTATGTATGCCTTTACCCGACACGTATTTACCCTGAAAGTTCAGTTAACCTCATACTTATTAACTGAATATGTGCCCAAAGATAGGAATATTGGCAAACTTCAGCTTACCTCAATTTGGTGTGGGAGCTATTATGTGGGTACTTATGAGACATGATGGCTTACTATTTTGGAGAGAGAGAAATTTAAACGCGCTACCTACTATAGGAGTAAGTAACTTTTTGTTATTAGAGCTGTGAATAACATAAGTAGACAAGTATTTCAAAGTAAGAGGAGTGTTTTGTATCGGTATAGAGACTGGTATACATACATAAATATAAAATTATGTTATCTTTATATTAAGCGTATGTTTTCTGTTATCATACCTAACCTTTATTGGCATATGAGCATGGTAGTTTGGTCGCATCTAAATAATTAACTTTTCAACGATTTTAGCAATATATAATTTACGTCGTTTGTGCAAAAATATAAAAGACTGCATGAAAAAATTTGCACACATTTAGATCTCAATTACAAGTTATATTTAAATTAAGGGCTAAGCATTTGCTGTGATAGTTAGAAGAACAACTTCAGTCAGCTTCAGCGCTCTACACTCTACATTTAGGTATTATATCCGTCTCAGTCTCTCAATTAAGAACTAAGTTTCCGCAGCAACAATTATTGGAGCAAACGGAACATCGACAGACTATGCCAATTTGCAAGAAGCTTATTCCTTTAGGTCAGGGTTTCCCAACCTTCTGGTGTGTGCTATTGATACCCAAAGTAGTCTATGCAACCCACAGGGGTTGAAGGCGTCCTTAAAGAAGGAAGGACAGAATCCGTGAGCTAGTCTTTATATTTTTATTACAACACTAGCTGACCCGGCGAACTTCGTACCGCCTTAGCGTAGAGATTTTCTTTATATTTTTTTCCGTAAAAACGTTGTACAGAGTATTAGAAAACTACAAAAAAATATCAGCTAAATCGGTCAAGCCGTTTTCATGTTATGTCGTGACAACGGAAAACGGGTTTCATTTTATACATATTATATAGATTTTTATAGCTGAGAGCCTGTCCAACTACCTATCTACTTACATACTTTAGTACAAAAACTGGCAGATATCTATCAAGTCTATTACTGCCATGTAGATGATGTAGAGAAACGACCTACCTACTTATGTAAAAGAAAAAAAATTAAATATAAGTATATGTTCTTATTAGGTACCTAGGATAAGAGTTAGGTATATTGATTAGGAAGTATCATAAGTATCGCTGCTTATAAATGAAAAATTTTCATAAGTAGTACTAACAAGCTCTCGTATTTGAAAATGAACTGAAATCTTTAAAGTATCATCTAAATGCGAAGGAGCCATTGAACTAGCCCCAGGTTGCCGGTAAACTGGTAACTTTTCTCATTTACTAATTTCCGCGACTGCTGTGAAACGAACCCTCTGATAGGACTGGCTCCGACCGAATTATTTGGGTACTTTGCACTTCAACTCTATGAAACTGTTATAAATGCAGAGTTCTTTCTCGTGCATTTTCATTCGATAGTAATAATTCAGGTATTTAGTTAATTTTCTTTATCACTAGGTAGTTACTAAAACTATAGTAAAATTAAAGTACCTACCACTTTGGTCTAATGAAAATATTGTCTAAAAACATGAAGGTTTTTTTTCACCATCTGAGTCATTGCATCTCATTGCATTGCATGAAATAATAAAGGATATTATGAAAAATCTTACAAAACCCAATTCAGAAAGCTTTCAAGTTAGAAACATGGTATTTAACTCACTATTAAGTAAGTTTTCTCCAATAAAAAGCTATGTAGGACTTACCGGAATCATGTTTAACAATATTGTTTCGTACACTTTGAATATCCTTTCTTCGTAAATACTTAGAGGGGGAAAACTGGTAACACAATATACCCTGAAAGCAGTATACAATTTTAAACAAAAGTTCCTAGGAAATGTAAACAAAATATCTCGCGCATCATGAAGCTACGACAGACCGTAACTGTCGCAGATTCCTATCTCAACATTGCCACCCATATCACCACGTTTTGATGTTTAGAAATAATATCGGAGCGTTTGACGCAGCTGTTTCACACAGAGGGTAATATCGAAAAGCTACATATAAAACATTGTACGGTGTGTTATTTACAAAATATTATGTTAATATTAAATAAATAAACTTTGTTTTACTTACCTATTTTAACTTCTTAATGATGGCCGCCTGGCTTATTGGATTGGCCTGACAGAGGTTGCGAGTTCGAACCGCCACGCTGCTATCAACATTTGGATGCTTGATTGAACCTTACGTTTCTGATTGTGTTACCCTACCTACAAAACAATTCCCTACAGACAACCTTTTATCCGTACCTACTGTCCAGATAAGATTACCTGCTTATATCAAATCGCCCCATAAAGTTCTTACAGGCGGTCTCGGCCACCTCAATACCTCAATATTGAGCAACCGCACGATAGCCAATATTGTCGTGTGGCAACCGTAAATGGTACATGGAACATGGGATAATACAATTTCACCGTGGACACGATCGGCTCGAAGCAGGTAGGTTTATATTGTGGGTAGGACACATCAAGTTCCTTATTCCAGTTGTTATAAGTGCGATTTTGCTACAAAACTAGGCATACTGAGGTGCCGTCGCTGTACATTTCTAAATTCTTTCGGGTAGAAACGTTACTGTGATGTAACAAAAGGGATTTCACTCTGATAAGGATCTAATTTCCTACAGTTGGGGATCTGTCCCTATAAGTATAGGTGCTTAGGCTTATACTGAACTGGGTTTTAGACACTTCAACACTTAGCAAGTTTTGTACACGTTTTTTAACAAGGCTGTGACACAACTTTTATTCAGAAAAACTTATCTGGTAATTACTTTGAAGCCTTTTAGTTTCTTTATTACTTTTCAATGCATTTTCATAACATCAAACAAAAGCAGAGTGAAACAACTTATAAGTAGAGATGGCAAAGGGAAATCTCTCCCAGTCAACCTCGGGCCTAGCTAAAGCACATTTTTATTTATTTAGAAATTCTAATAGTTTCTAGCAGGCAATATGATGAACATGACTTGTTAATAAAAATATAATATTACGGTGTTTGAACATCATCATTTCCTGCTCCGCCCTAAGTGGAGTGGTCCATAGAGTTGCCTTTTGATAGTTGACTATCGATGTACTAGCGATATTTTCAATATCGATTGTGTAAGACAGGACAATAAAAATATTTACAAACAAACTACTAGTAATAAGCGAATTGGAATACCTCTGCTATCGATATAGCAGAGATTCAATCTATTGATAGTGTACCTACTTTTTTTTAAATAACCAACCATTAAAGAAAAGAAATTGTCCATAGAACACTTGAAAAGCTGGAGGACAAATTCGCAGTCGATAAAGTGAGGGCTAAGTAGTGTCAGCAGGTGTCCCGTAGACAAGATTTCGAGCCTATCGATATTGTTATGTACTAGTTTTCAAGCCAAACATATCGATAGTTGGGCAACTCTAGTGGCAGGACCCAGCAAATAAAAGACAAGTAGGATGCGGTGAATCGGAAGAAAGAGGATTCACTTGGTACTTACTGCTAACTGTTCCAACGAAAAAACTATTTTCCTTCATGTTTCTATTTTATTTGCAGCAGAAAACGAGCGAGCATAGCACAGATACAAAGTTTATAACTACATCATAGTTTGAAAATCCATATATGTAGTCAAATGCGATCTTATAGATAATCAGTGTCGAATTTCAATATGTACAGACGACAGCACATTAATGTAAACCATCAGGCGCCACATGTAATAGGAGCAATGGCGCAGTTACACTATGCATGAAATTGATCGAATCAGTGTCAATACGCAGTTCAGTTTATTTCGCCGTGCGTCACCTTTTATACTTCCGTGATGGCGCCCATACTTCCGCGTTCGTTCGACCAATTTCGCGCATACATAGTGCAACTGCGCCATAATTTATACAGTTATGTGTTGTCAGGTGTCGTTTAAAATGTGATATTTTTTATACAACTGGAATTTATACAAAGGTCAAGATGAAGCTATGAATGGCCACCTTTGATTAGCATGAAGTGACCAACTTGTGCCATTTGTTTGGGAGAAAGGTCATGTAAATTGGGTAATCAAAAACACAATATAAACTACTAAATTTTAATTGCATCCAACAGTTATTCTTAAGCGGAATTCTTAACTCAATCCTATCTAAAACATAAAGGCTAAAATTTCATATCCTCGTGTGCACGTTGGATACAAAACATAATGTATATCTTATAACAACCGAAAATGCACATTTCACTGTGAACTAAATGATTAGAAATGAAATAATGCATCGAATAAGCTTTCATTGTCCTAAGGTACCGAAATCACTGGTATCCTAAAATAAGTATACACAAGCCAGTCGCGTCTCGGCTCACAATATGGAGCCGCACTATACAGATCACTGCTTTTGTTTGGTGACCTGAAACAAACAAAATATTTCCTTTACCTATACAAAATATCATCACTAAAGCACAGATATGCATAATGGAAGTAACCAAAAAATGTATCATTGACGTGACCGTCATCGGGGGACATAAGAGGAATACTCAACAGAAAATGTATCATTGATGTGATCAGATAAGAATAAATTAGCAGTTTAAAATAAACAATTGAGAACAGTATGTGATGGTGTCAGTAAAACATTCTCACAGAAGAGATGAAACAAGTTTGAAGTCGGAAACTTTACTTTTAAGGTTACCACCTCACTTATAGATTCATTATTGTATGGTCACCAAGTGAACCAACCACACCATTACGAATTTCCAATGGATTTCGAGGATTATGTCTTAGACAAAAATGGACTAAGAATGTTTGTTATTTACGCCCGTATTCACAAACATTACTATCAGGTCTCACAGTGCGCGTAGACGCACAGGGTGACAGACGAACCAATCGCAGAGGTCTATTCAACGCTGTGCGTTCGATTTGCTGCTTCACTTATGCAATCATCGTTTATGAATAAGGGCGTTAGTTGATATGCTGGTGACGATATCAAATGGCTACGATAGCCGAACGGTGAAGGGGTCAGACTGGCCGACTCGAGATCCGAGGAACGCGGGTTCGAATCCCACCGCCGCTCGACTATTGTAGTGAGCCCACTCGTAACACAAGCTTATTTAGCTTACCGCGAGGGGCTAACAGGACTATTTCTAATTTGTGCAATACAAATTGCTAATAAACTTATTTAAAAAAAAATGGAGACAAAACTCACCAGTATAACTTAAGTGTCACTCTTCCAAAGCTTAATAGTCTTATCGTTTTCCAGCGCCGCGGATGCAATAATGTTTTCGGTGGGGTGGCACGCCGTGCAGAGAACCGTGTCCGTGTGTCCCGACAGCCGCTGCACTATCTCTTTCGACTGCAGATTCCAGATGTACACCAGGTTGTCTTCAGATCCTGATACTATCCACTGTGGACAAGGAATTTGGTTCATTAATTTTGACGTTTTTGAGGAAGTCATTTGGAGATTAATGGTTCTATTTGGGTAAACATATTNCTATTTGGATCCGACTGTAATTTTTGAGGTATAATACATTATCGTAGCATAAATATTTACGAAGATACAGATGTGTCAGCTGGAGACACGTGTCCTCAGCTTACACATAGAAAACAACTCATAGTTATGAAGTTCTAATGGCTCTAATTGAATGACTGAGAGGTTTGATGACTCTAATTAGGCTTTTATTGGTGGTATACTTGGAATTGCTCTAGGGCCAATGAGGAAGTTGGAGACATTCTCTTAATGACGCCGCGCAGTTACACTATTCGAGAAATTGATCGAATCAGATAGTGTGAACACGCAGTTCAGTTCGTTTCGCCGTACGTCGCCCATTATTCTTTTTGACCAATTTCACACATTGTGTAACTACGCCATTAATATTGGACTATAAATTAATATTTACAGTAACTACACAATATGGAAACATGGGATGTAGAAAAATCATTGATAGACAACATACAGAATGCCTAATTTAGAATAGAGTATTTGTTGAAATGAGGTGGCTTTTCACATAAAAATTCAAAGTTTTACATACACAAACTTAAATCAAAGATCAAATGTTCTACTAAAACCAAAAAAACAATGAGTCACTTTAATACTTTGGCTCGTGGCCCACAGTATAAATCTATTATTTTTAGCAAATAAATGTATGTTTGTTCAATTAACTTTGTAGTAAAAAGACATCCTCCTATACTGACTAATAGTGGAAAAGTGTGATTCAACTACAAATTAACAAGTTTCGGAGTTTTTCCTTAACATGTTTCTGCTACTTTTCAAGTTTTAAAGACAAATCACTTGAATACAATGCAATATGGCATTTATTGATTGTGCTGACCAAGTATTTCTTAGTAATTTGATACCAACACGCATTCCCGATATAGTGTTTAGGTGTACAGACAAATAATAGTAGAATTTTTCTTTCCTTTTGAGATAAAAAACCACAGAATTATCGCTTCTATGGCAAGAGTTTGCATAGTAACAACTCTTACTACTTTACTACTAATAAGCCAACTCATGAGTCATATCCTATTGGCACAGTAACTCAGTTTTTACTATCGTTTTTTCAGTGCCTCATGATATAACTGAGGCTATAATATTATGCTAATATTTAAAAGTAGGGTGAAATCATTGGTCTTTACTGCTTCTGGAATAGTTTAACCAAGTAGAGGATTTTGAAAGTTTAAAATAGTGCTATAAGTTTTTTTTTACCTTTCCTCCTGTTACGCTGAAGTTAGCGAAAATGCAATACTTTTCGTTTTTATGTCCTGTATATGTTTTAAGGCATTTCCCTCTGCTGTAGTCCCACAATTTGAGTGTGTTGTCCAATGTAGCTGCTAAGATGTATTTGCCGTTTGGTGAGAACTTTACAAAGGAGACAGGAGGATTGTCATCGTCAATTAATGTCTTTAAGCACTGCCCTGATGCTGTGTCCCAGATTCGACTGAAAAAAAAACGGGTTGAAAATACATATAATAAAATAAATAAATAATAAATAAATATCCTTGGACATTTTACACTGCGCTTCTAGTCCCAAACTAAGCAAAGCTTGTACTATGGGTACTAGACAACGGATATAAACATACTTATATACGTTTTTTTTTGTAAATACATACATATTATACATAGAAAACACCCAGTCCAATACAAACAAATATGTTCATGCACACAAATGTTAGTACTGTGCGGGAATCGAACCCGCAACCTCCGGAATAGTAGTCCGATTCGAACCACTACACCAAACGGCCGACAAATAATACTTTGTACTACTAGTTACAAACAAATTAAATAAACGCAATGATCAAAACAAACGAAAAATAACTCAAAGCATTCCCTGTGCTATATTTGTATACTAACAGCTGGACACAAAGGTTAAAGAGTTCACACTATTCGACACACTGACTCATTGCAGCCGATTTGTTATTCAATTCAAAGTTTTTCTTCTACACATTAAGTAGCAAAATTTTAATAAAATAAGTAATTATAATGTCCAAAAAGCATAATTACCATAATCCATCATAACTTGAGGATACAATTAAACTGCCATCTCTGTTGAAATGAACTGCTGATACTGGATCTGAATGCGCTGGTAATGTCTTCAAACATTTTCCTAAAAATACAAAACAATGATGTGATGAAATAACTCATGATTCACCTTAGAGATAAGCTCTACTAAACAGATTTAGGGTCTATTTTTGATTGCCAGATATCTTTCTCTCCATTTTTGACTGGTTAATTCTCATGCATTCCTTGTACAGTTCCCATACATGATAGGAAACGTGGATAACGCAGTGACGCGGCGAAAACCGCTCAGAAAACGCGCGATTTATCAATGTTTCTACACAAGGCCATGTAATATGAACATTCAAAAGGAAGTCAACAAACCAAATATGTCAAATTTCATTATCCAAGTCAATCATTATTAACTGCATTTACAAGTGATTACATCAAACTAACTGCAACTTTCACTAATTGAAAAATAACTTAACAAAAACTAGAAGAAGATTATCCAGTACATTTTGTTCATTTATCATTTTAATATAAAAATAAGTAATATTTTGATAATTACCTGTTCTTACATCCCATATTCGTACACTCTCATCGAAACTACCAGATACAATAAGATTACTTTGTGGGTTAAAATTACAGCAAAAAACGTAATTGCTATGTCCTTTTAGTGTTTTCAAACATTTTCCTGAGCTTAATTCCCAAACCTGGAACAAATAAAAGAAATTAACATTATAAAAATTTTACAACCCATTTTTTCAACATTAATTAATGTTGAAAAAAATTGAGTTTTTCTCAATAAAATCCAACCAAGTAACTAACCGGTAAGAAAAGCCCAAGTTAACAGATAGCATAACAATGGGTTTCCATCATTCAAAACATAAACATTTACACATAATTGATTTCATACACAAAATAACTTGGCAAGTTAGTACTGATTGCACCATAGTTAAACAAATTTCACAGTCGTGTAACAGTGATGAAATATTCATGGTAACCAGACATAACTGATGGCTTCTAACTTTTCAAACACCAGGAAAGAAGTATAAAAATATCCAAAGCTGCAATCTTATCTTATGAAGTAGAATGTTTAGATAATATGATAAAAGTTTAACAACCGTGAGAACATCTAATAGTTTAACAACTAAATCTGGGTTATCATTACATTTTAGTAATTCTGATCTACATTAAGTTTTTGGTGACTCTCATCAAGCAAAATACCCTAATAATATTAATTTGGATAAAATGAAGTTTTTGTATCATGAAAAATTATATTTTTTTTTTTCATTTTGATGGAAAACCAAGAGTTTATGAGTGTTATTGCATTACCAAATAAAAATCTTTATTCAAGGCCCCCTTTCCATTACTTTTTCTTATTTATAGGAAGAGAAACTACAGTATTTTGGTATTTCATTTAAGTTTAACCATTTAGAAAATGATTTAATTACCTTTAAGGTTTTGTCATCGCTGGCACTGACTATCAATCTGCTGTCTGATGACCACGCCACATCACTGATGCCCATCTTGTGGCCAGAAATTGTTTTCTCGAACTTGCCATCATAGGCACCCCACACTTTGATAAGTTTGTCAGCAGCTGAAAATTATAAGCAAATTGTCAATAATACTGCCTAGGTTTAGAGAAGCATAAAATTCATACTAATTTTATAATGACCTTTGACCCTATGAATGGAAATTCCCAAATTGCCTGGCATTAATTAATGTTTCATTTCGTATTGGCAGACAAACACTATTTTCTCATTTACCCATTTAATTAGTAATTAAATGAGAATAAATTGCTACTAATTATACATTTCATCATTAGGTTTAGATTAGGTCATCAAACAAAAAAAAATTAAACTATTATTTTTTGTATGATGATCAACAAATCAAATATTTGAAATGCTCTTGACCCTATCTAAATGCTTGTGTTATATTAATTCATTTATTTGGGCAAATATTTTAAGTTGTCAAGTGATAGGCACTGCAATAAAGTCAGAAAATTATCTGATAACTGGGTCAGATTGAACAATGTTATTTTTGGGAGTGTTAAAATCAATTCAATTTTAATATTGTGAGAAGTCTGTAAATATAGGCAAGAATGCTTAATTTTTCATTTGAAAGTAATATGAAATAGGTGTAATGACACTAAATAATATGCGAAAGGGTCATACACCTGTAGCATTACATTTTCACACCTCATGTGTGAATTATGCTGATTATTACCAACTGTCAAATCAATGCTGACAGGCCACTGTTTTCTAATCAAGCCCAGGTTTGTTCCCCCACCTTTAGACCTCAGACCTACTCCCTACAGGTTTAGCAATGTTGCATAGCAACAGCAGTTAGCTGGCAACTGAATGAGCTAAAAGTGGGTTGCATACAGATGTTTCGCCATACTGTATCTAACTAGTATTTATAATGTACTCACAGGAACTGGCCAGCCATTCTCCATTGGGACTGAATTTCACAGATGACACAGCTTTCGTGTGGCCAGCAAGCGTAAATTTTAGAGTGTAGTTCGGCTTCTGCAAACCGACAACAAAATTAGCGCCAAATCGCACGTGCTCACGGAAAGTTAGTTACATAAACATGTGCCGCCCGCGCCTGACGCAAAACTGAGACAATTGTAATAGATAACTTACCGCCACCGACGACTTGTTTGATTGTGGAGCACTTTGTGATAACGAATTTGGGCCGGATAGATTAGCCGAGGGTCCGCCGTGTGTTTGATGTGCAGCAGGATGGCCTGGCCCCGGTCCTAGCGGCACCATGTTTTAACTTTAGACGCACTACGTTTTTCTTTGTTCGTCACCCAAAACAGTCACTAATATACACAGAATAATAATCCAATTCACTCCTGGGGAGATATAGAACACGGAGATTATCTTTCACTCGCGATTCACCATGTATTTCACCGAAGATTTTCAAAGAACATTCTAAATTCAGGCGTCTCAATGCGTGCATATTTCGCGAAGGCGAGTACTATTGCCAACATAACAACAATGAAATACCCTCCCGCGTCCCTCCTCCTCCCATACAAATCAGACGCTGCTACCAACGTAACAACAAAAAAATTGTCTATGGTCGTAACGATGACGTAATCCAACTTTGAATGCGTTAAACGAAACACAGCTTATATGACACCCACATATAACGGAACACAGATAATTATTTTTTATATGGCAAGAACAAATGACCCTTTTGACATAACCAAGGTTAAATTTGACACTTTCAATAAAAATTCGCCGCTGTGTGGTGAATTTTGATCAATAAAAAATACTAAATTAATCTTATTACATTCAGAAATGGCTTTACACAAGCTTAGTATTGATGCCCTGGAGTTGGCCGGAAAGCGAGTGCTTATGAGGTATGATTTTTATGTTTTTACAGTGGTTTTAATGCCAAGTAATTTATTACATAAAATTACATCTCATTTATTAATTTTAGAGTGGACTTCAATGTTCCCCTCAAAGAAGGAGTGATCACAAATAACCAACGTATTGTAGCTGCCTTGGATTCCGTCAAATATGCCCTGGAAAAAGGTGCTAAGTCGGTGGTTCTCATGTCCCATTTGGGCAGGCCGGACGGTCAGGTTAACATGAAGTACACGCTCAAGCCGGTCGCTGAAGAGCTTAAAAAGCTACTTAACAGGTAAAGAAAGTTAAACACTATTATTTCCTCTCATTAAATCTAATTTTATGATCCATCAGTATACTTTAGCATCTTAGTCAGTATACTGAAGTGTAAAATAAATAAATTACAATATCATTTTATTGAAACATTTTGATCCACACTACAGTGTTGCCAACCTAATAAACCATAGAACTTTTGTACTCATTCTAGGGAAATAACTTTCCTGTCTGACTGTGTTGGTCCTGAAGTAGAGGCAGCATGCGCTGACCCCCCAGCAGGCTCAGTCATCCTCCTTGAAAACCTGCGCTTCCATGTCGAAGAAGAAGGCAAAGGCGTTGACGCAAGTGGGGCTAAAGTTAAAGCTGATCCTGCTAAAGTTACAGCCTTCAGAGCCAGCTTGAGGAAACTTGGAGATGTTTACATTAACGATGCATTTGGTAAGCAGTATACTTTTTTACTTTTTGGCTACTTAGGCAAAAGTAGCAGCCATTTGAGCAGACCATAGACAGTTCTTTTTAATTTTTCAGGTACTGCCCACAGAGCTCACAGCTCAATGATGGGAGAGGGTTTTGACCTCAGAGCTAGTGCTTTCCTTATGAAGAAAGAATTGCAGTACTTTGCTAAAGCCCTGCATGAGCCTGAAAGGTAATTCCCACCAATTTTATTACTATTTTAATATTTAATGTTATATTATTATATCTCCATACCTTTAAGTTACCACATAATCCTGATGTACTAACTTCTTGTTATAGGCCTTTCCTTGCCATCCTTGGTGGTGCAAAAGTGGCTGACAAGATCCAGCTCATTGAAAACCTTCTGGACAAAGTCAATGAGATGATCATTGGTGGCGGCATGGCTTACACATTCCTCAAAGAAACTAAAGGCATGCCTGTAAGTATGTGTAGTGTATTTGCTTATGATTCCTTCATTGGTACTTAAAAAGGGGTAGTAACAAATTTCATGCCATCCATAGATAAAAACAAAAAACTGATTATCATCAAAAGTAACTATGGTATTCTTTTATTTATGTGAATGCTATGTTTTATAAGCCAATAAGCAATAACTGTCTGGAAAATAAAGTTTTATTCATGTTTCATAGGTTTGAACATTGTAAGCACCCCAATGTAAACACTGGCACCTTATGTACTTGTAAACAGGTGCTATTTTGAAAAAAAAATCTAAAGTTTGATGTGCTGTAGACTGTACCTACCATACCACTGATTGGCCACTTCCTTATTAATTTAATTCAGTCAAATAACTTTGCTAACTCACTCATAATGTACTCTACTTTTTCTTTAGATTGGTTCCTCCTTGTACGACGCTGAGGGCGCTAAAATCGTCAAGAAACTCCTAGAAAAAGCAGAAAAGAACAATGTGAAGATCCACTTACCAGTTGATTTCGTCACTGCCGACAAATTCGATGAGAACGCTCAGGTAAGTCAAAACTAGTAACATTTTCAGCTTACTGAATACAACGTGACTGAAAACTGGTGTGATATGTTACTTCAGTGTGTCATAGACACTACGAATTTATTAGCAAGGTCAAATGTTCCAACCAACTAGCCTAATCAGCCATTTATGTAACAGTCTGAACCAATAAGAAAATAACAAGATTGAGCCATGGCAATAAAAATCTAGTGTAAATGAGTTTGTCAGTTGATAGCTTAGCTTACTATCAGCAACATGCGACACGACTTTATCATACCGGCGATAGCATCAAAGCAAAGTTAGTTAAGTTACTAATACACTAGTCAGTGTATTAGTAATTTGGTATAACTTTCACGTAACTTATGCCATTATTTTATATTAGGTTGGAAGTGCTACAGTTGAGTCTGGTATCCCCGACGGCTGGATGGGACTTGACGTCGGACCTAAATCCCGGGAACTGTTCGCTGAGCCCATTGCAAGGGCCAAAGTCATTGTCTGGAACGGGTAAGACGACACTGATAATGTTGCACATACAATTTGGAATCTTGTGGCTTTGTATTTAAGGTGTTTTTTTGTTTAACAGACCCGCCGGTGTGTTTGAGTTCGCGAAGTTCGCGGAAGGAACCATGGCTCTTATGAACAGTGTAGTGGAAGCTACCGCGAAAGGTGCCATCACTATTATTGGTAATTTTTTTTTTTATAAAGTTTGCTTAACCTCATCACATATTTCTCACTCTCTTATTATAATCTTGGGACGAAAGAAAGAGTTGAATAGAGCTTTGTATAATAACAAATGTATTCATCTGCTCAACGTTAATGTAGGAGTAGGAAGTTTCTCAAATAAGTAGTAAGCTATAGTCTGGTCGCCGACCACGTAGAATTTTGTCCAATGACCCCAAGCTACCCATCCTTATCGCTCGCGTGTAATATGTTGCTGTCGCGCTCGCACACTCACGCCGGGCGCCCGTCGCACAGTCGCGACAGCAATATAATTACGCGCGAACGATAAGGATAAGACATCTTACTGTAGTTTCAATAAATGTCATTTTCAACAAAAACGTATGTTCTTTCTTATGTGCGGATTATGCAATTCCATAATCATGGGTTCTATTTGTCCTATAAACAGGTGGAGGTGACACGGCCACGTGTTGCGCGAAGTGGGGCACCGAAAACAAGGTTTCGCATGTCTCGACCGGTGGTGGAGCGTCTCTGGAGTTGCTTGAGGGTAAGTCCATAGACTAAACAAATGCCAATTTTTACCCGTCTGCGCCAGAAGGCGCGCAAGGCCGTTTTTTTTTTGTTTTGTTTTTTGTTCTTTTATTGTTCTCATATTTGTTATTACTCGCCAGTATTTTTCCCAAGACAGTTCTCATTGAAATGAACATCACAGTCATCCATGGCATTTATACAGATTGTGATATAATTTCAGCTTAAATATCCAAGTTTCTTATCATTCTTGAAACATTTTTTAAATAAAGAAACTAAATTAAACCTCTATAATGATGTATGCAATGCTTGAAAATTCGACGATTTCCACAAAATACAATTAATTATTAAAACAATCTTATGAACAGTTTAAATAATTGCAAGATGTCTTCGTAAAATTACACCGAAATCTATGCCATTGCCATCCCCTGGTTCCCGTGTTCATTAAAGTTATCCACTTCGAAGAATTCCGCCGTCCTGCTCAGTCCGTTAATGAAGAAAGAAGTTAAAATGAATTAAGTACTTACTCCTCTTAATTAATCCGCCGCGTTAATGAGATTCTCGCTACCTGATGCCAGTCTTATGTACAGTCGGCCCAATGCTGTCTAATTTATCTTGAAATCCTTTTAGGCTTAACGAAAAAACGATTTGTATTTGTGGTTTCTAAATAATTATTGTAATTTTGAAAAAACAAAGCTTTCATTTGTGAATCAAATAAAAAAAAACTATCAGACAACTTTTGAATGACTGTACTCTGTAACTGTAATGTAATGCACATATTTTGTAATTTTACTAGTAATATCTCAAGGTCTTAATAAGTTAACAAATCATGATTGTTAGTAATATTGCTCCCCAAACCCCGTAGATATTCCTTATTTATTAAGTTCGGTGTAGCAGTATTCTAAAAAGTAATTTTGTGTAGAATAATAGTGCTATCTTTTATTCTCATTTTTATCATTGTTTTTATTTAATTTCAGGTAAAGTGCTCCCAGGGGTAGCCGCTCTCTCCGACGCATAAATAAATTAAGCAAATTAGATTCAGTGCAATAACCTAAATTAATTACATTTATGTATGTGTATTGGTCAAAAACTTCGCATAATTGGTATATTTATATTTGGTTCCTGAAAGGATTGTAATACTCGAAATTATCAAAATTACATAATAATTAGCGTAAGTGAAAATGCATGTTATAGTTGCAAGATCATTGTGTCATGTTATTGTATATTTTATTTTATTTATAGCTGTGAGTATTAATAAACGTTGATCGTAGTTAATTTTGTTTGTGGTGTAATCCCAACGGGGTTTGGGCGTAGGCCCTATAAAGATGGTTTATTCAATAACAAAGTTATAAGCCGCGCTACGCTGTCCTGATTAACTGTTAAATTAGTTCATCGTTCTATTTTAATTAGAATTTATGTACCGTTTGTACTGGTTCTAATGTATATTACAATATTTTTAAAAAATACGAATAGTAAATTCTAAACACAAGAAACTTTATTTCTATTTTCACTCTTCTGAGCTTACTTATGAAAAGTTATTTTATATGAGAAAAAAATAACATTAAAGGATTTGAACCTGATGATTCAAATACTTAATTTAAAACACTTGAATTTGTAATAACAAAGAAAACTAACAAAAATATCATTATTTCGGTTGAACCGGTCAATAACAATATTAAAAACGAAAACAACCCTATTGGGTATAATAACGAACATGGCCTTCGAATTCGATGCATTAATTCATTTAACCCATTAAAGGACAAAGCGTGTCAAAACTCTTCATTATTTTGAACTTTATGACAAGCGAATAAGGTTGAAAACATGCTATATTCTTGTTACCTTATAAAGGGTTAACATAGCCATAACTGGAGGACCGTTACCGTCCGGTACGAGGCACCTGCAAATTGCGCAACCTTTACAAATGTCAGCGTGAGGACATTTACATAATTTTTTGACCTAACGAGGACCTGTTTCGTTCGTATTTCAACGTATTATAGCAAACGCGATTCTTTTCTTAACCTTTCCTTTTAAAAATTTTAACGTCAACGTAACTTTAGTTCCAAAGTATGCGAATTCAGGATGGATCTACATGATATTGTTATTTATAACATGAAACTATGGCCTCCGTCCTAATATTTTTGGCAAATTGAATTAATGCCTACCTTGTACTTGTCCATTAATTTAGTTGTCAAACATTATGGCCGTTCTGGCCAGCGTTGGGAGCGAAGGCCAAATCCTCCATTTGCTTAAAGATGACGGAACTGGGTCCCATGTGTTTCTTTTTACTGGATTATACTGTTAAATTAAGAGTAACAATAAATAACAAATAGTTTTGTTATAAGGCTACGATTATTTAGCCGCTAAAGCTTCACAGATATTTCTTGTCCGCTACGTGAGCGTTCGATGAAAAACTGGCGCCCAACGTATAGGTAGTTCTCAACAAGTGAATAATGTATTATTTATTGTATCTAGCTACCATTCTCATAACAAAGAAATATTGATATTATTCTGTAGTTGTCTTCGAAAGACGTTGCTAAGCAAAACGTGTCAGTGCCACAAAATCGATAAGCACCCTGCTATGCTAGTATTAAATATCGTAAATCACGATGATTAACCTGTAGCTCTAAGGTCTAATGTTAATTTGGCATTGGCAAAGCTTTCTCCCTTCGCCCTTCTACATAATAAATGACATTCAAAGTGCCACCAGTCATATAAATATTAAGGCTTAGAGTGAAGCCAATGTTACCTTTATTGACATCCCCTATTCAGTAAACAATTCCTTTTCCTTTCATGAATGAAGAAATTTTAATGCTCTTATATCGGACGTATGATATTGCATTTTAGTCTCTATACACAGAGGATTGTGGATGGAATCGGCGTGGTCAACTTGCATACTAATAGGCGAGCACGTAGACAGAAAAAGAATATGGCCGCTATTGATCTGCCATGCGCGCAAGCGTCCTATGCATCGAATATTCGTGCCAATTCCCTAAATCCTTTAGCATCAATGTAGCGGTACTATCTAATCTTACTAACGTCCTGAAGACGATTAATCTTTATCACAGGCGTTATTAATTGTTTATTGACAGCCATTGTTCCGCATGTGCCCGCCACAATTTGAGACAAAAGACAGCTGTTATTTATCGACGCCCTGCCAATATGGGACCTTTCCGATACCTTGCATGAACTTTGGTCCAATTGGCGAGGGTTCGCGCATGCTCACAGCGAGCCTGAGGTGTTTTATCAAAATAATAAATTCTCAAAAGGTGTTAGTGATGTAAGGACGTGTCACGCCGCCGGAAAACCGGCGTGCGTTTATCATGACTACATAGTAGCCCCTCGTTATTAAATATACGATTTAAAGTAGAATTATATAACAAGTTGATAGTTTGGTGTCAATTGTTGTTGTGTATATCGATTATAAGTAGTAAATAAAGTTTTTAGCTGAATCTGTTAGCAGGTAAGTGAACGTGACGAGTCCGTTATGCTTTTGTTTTTGTGTTGTGTGTGAGTAATGGGAGACATTTGTACACACAGATTTTATGGTTTTCTTTGCTCAGTAATATTCATTTTTTTGTTAATTATCTTGTTATAACAATTCGACGCAATACCTACGTACGTAGCTTGATTTTTGTTAGAACTTATTATTTTGTTTATTATCCATCAACCGCTCTACTGGCTCTACCTAATAATTACTCTACCTAAGTAGGTATGACAGTTAACACTCATGAAATTTAATTACTTCAGTAATTAAAGCTTAATAGGAAGTTTAATCGAAACCTTGCTTGTTTATCGCTGTTTACTGTATCAAGTATGTCTCTACTCTGCGCTGAAAGTGCAACGGCAAAATCACTTACGATAACAAAATGCATTCACATAATGTAGATGCGTAGCTACTTTACTACTCGTATTTTAGTCACTTAAGTTAGAATTTCCTACTGATAAATGATCAATTCATCTACTGAGACCAATCTGTCATAAAACAGCGTTAGAGAGGACTCTATATCACTTATTAAATTTCTTTCATCGCCTGTGGCATGGCGCCCAAATTGCGAATGGTGCCAACCCACATCATTTAAATAAAACTTTTCACGTAATTTTACTTATGTTGAGTACTTACTGGATGAAATAGCAAACTACGCTTCAGTGCCGTTAGGTGTAATAAATTATTCATGATTTCGACGCTTAGCGACAATTTAGTAAATAGCTCAGAAACTCTACCTCGATGTGTTTATTCATTGGAAGACAAGTGCTACGAGAACAATCTGATAGATGCGTAGGCGATAAATCCTTAACGAGATAGTCTGGCCGTTATTGGATGGAAATTGCGAAACCTACGTTAGAGCACTTCTTTTTCTTTCGGCTGAATAAAAGCTGTATAAAAGATTAAAGCAGGTTAACGATGATCGACGTGTCATGAGGAAGATTCTAAAAATAATTCCTGGTAAATAATGAGAGTATTATGAACTGTGCTTTCAGACAGTTGTTAACTTGTTATCCAGTGGTACCAAATGTCAAATTGTTTATTTACAGACGGAGAAACTTGTCGCTTTCAGAGATTATTTGAGTCAACCAACGTAATAGGATAATTTTTTGAAAATAAGTATGAGTCTAAATATAATACAATTTTAATGAGAAATAAAACATTACTGATACTTTGAATAAGTTACAACGCCATTTATTAAACTTAATTACTACTTTAAATTAACGAACTTAAATAGGTACTTACCTAATAAGTAAGTTACCAAATTTATTATTCGTTTCAAGCTACATTTATTTTTTATGAAAATATGAGCTTGCTTTAAAAAAATGGGGTCAAAATAAGGGTTGAAATAAACGCTATATTCTTTCTTCGTAGGTACTGAAAATTGAATTTCCTCGTGAAATCACCGAGCCGTTGCCATGTTATGGCCTCCTTATTTCCAGGTTGTTTAAACCGTTTATGGTGTCTTTATGAAAATAAATAGAATAGGTACTCAATAATGCCTACGAGAAATGAGCAAGAACTTTTTAAGTAATTAGTAATTCTACCTATCATAAGTAATGTAATGGAAACTGCCATCCTTGGAGGCCTTTGGAGGTCATTTGGTTGAATCGAACGAAAAAGTTTCAGCGTAAATTAATAAAGGTCGTAATGTCCTTAGCCCATCAAACCCTAAGCGGTCGCACAATTATTTCTATTGCGTCTCGATTCGTGGGTACTTGGAGTCTTCCAGTGACGTGGCCCATTTTTAACTTGGTCCACAGGTCAAGTCGCTGGGTTGAATTTTTAAGTAACCTATTTTTTCTTCCAGTAACTGGGCCCACCTTCAATGCTTTTACTAATAAATGAAACACCAAATTAACAAAAATCTACTCTAGAATCTTAGAGTGGGCCCAGTTGCTGGAAGAAAAAATATTTAAAAATTCAATCCTGCGACTTGGCCCGTGGACGTGGCGGGCTAAGTCACTGAAAGATAAACTTTTTTTATGACGAGTGCAATCATCTTCGCATTTAAATTATGAAGCTTTTCTCATCCTAGTCTAGTTTTTCTCGTGCCTCGTTTCTCTTAATTATTGTGTCCCGATTCGCGGTTATTTGAAGGGATAGACTATGACGATGTTTCATCATCGCATTTGAAACTGTTTAACTTTTCTCTTCCTAGTCCAGTTTTTCTATGAAACACGGTTATGAATCGCACAAACGAATTTCTTGAGTCCATGCAGATTGCATTGTACGTGATTCCACTCTCGCCATTGTTATGCAACGCAGCACTTTCTTTGTGACGAGGTTATAATGGAAGCGCCTTGATATTTCGTACTTGCATTGTGCACTTCGCCGTCACACGTTGTTTTGTTGTGAATTGACAACAATATACCGTGAAGTCACGGGCGTGAATACAGTCCCAGATTGAAACTTTTCAGTCACTTTTGAAAAACCCTGTAGCATTTAAACTCGCGTATACGAATTTCCATAAATCCTATAGGAAATCGTAGTCGGTAGGTATATGAATTCGTTTCAATTATAGGGTTTATTAATTAATCTACAACACTCCTAACTCAAATATTGACGAGTCTCCCAGGCAAGAAAGATTAATCTGTCTGAAAGATTATCTGAAACTATTGATTGGTAGTATCTGTCTCTATCAATTTAGTCCACAGAAAAGGATCAGCCTAAACTGAGTGATTACTTTACGCCCTAGTAAATTCTCAATAACTTGTTTTCATATAATATGATTCCTTAAACTATTACGGTACCGATACAATGTACTATTGTTACAATGACTTTCGCTATAATGGGATCAATATCGTAAAGAAAAAATGTAAAAGAAAAATACAAACGAAAAGAAGAAATTTACGATTATTGGCCCATTTAAAAAGTGGCCAGTTTTCTACCACGGTTTATTTAAGAAATAACAAACAACAAAAATATGCGCAGCGGTGCTGTTTCAGATTCATAAGTATTTATAAATACTTATTAATAAATTAGTATTGAATAATTTTTCCATTTTGACTAATATTATGAGCGAATCTATGTGTAATAAGTACCTAGTTCTTTGACTATTATGTGTGCCTCCATTAAATTCCCTATCTAAAAATCTGTCGTTCTGAAACTGTCGTAAAAGCAAAAGCTCGTAGATAGCGATGGAACCGCAAGAGGATGTCGAATCCTCGTCACGCTCTGGCTTTGATCCCTCGTATCCTAATTTAAAATCTTTATGTAAGTGGGTACTTTATATACTTCTATATACAAAAACTTACTTATGTTGATTACACTCTAAGCCCTTGATAAAACGCCTCTAGTTTCTTGCTTTTACATAGCGTGGTATCCATTTATCGATCCCCTCATAAAACTTTGTGTGCCGACAGAATGAATACGAAATAAAATTTTGATTATCCATAACTTTTCTAATATACATAAGTACATACCAAAGATTCGATCAATCACAAACTTTGAAAGAGCGCAACTCGAATTAAATGAGAAAACTTCATACAAACAGCAGCTAATCGAAATCGAGTTTGCTTCGCACTTCGACATTGTTCTCGATAAGACGTAGACATAATGGTAATCGATGAAAAGATTTCTCTAAAAAGTAGAATGTGCTACAAAAAGGAAAAAAGATTTGGTATATTCTTATTTAGAAAACTTTTTTTGTGCTTGGTTTTTCTGCAATAAGTCGTAAGACTATGATTGAGAGAAAACTTATGGATTTAGGTACTACTTAACAAAAATATATTGTACAATTTGTCCCTACGTAAATATAGTTAACGTGAAAATAAAACATAACATTATTTTACTTCTCTAAGTAACTTACGATAAAAGTAAATATTTAACAAAGACAATGTTATAAATGTCACTGAATGTCCACACCCCCAGCAGATTGCCAATCTATTGCCTGTCACGCCCCTAGAAGATTGTATAGCCTGACCAGGAACATAAAAACCCTCGCCATGTTGCGGAAAACTAATGGTACTAATTTCTTTTAATGGCAACAGTAACTGAAAACTTCATTGACATGTCACCTTGCATGTCAGTCTATTGCTGTCAAAGTGTAAACAAACTTTATTTTAAATGTGCGCAATTGGTTTTATGAATTAAATTGCTAAAATATTTTTACAGTCGTGAAAGAAAAGTGGTTCACAATGTGTTAAAGTATTTGTCGAAGAGAAATACTAAGGGTTCGGACAATATTTTCATTGAATAATGTTTCCGACAAAGGTTGTCAAATTGACTGACATGTTTATCGTATAGTACAGTCCACTATGAAAATTAGCTGTGGTTTGTTTCAACTACCTATTTTAAAATTTTTTGTCACTTTCTAAGTGTTGAATTTTATGGGATTGGGAAAGAAGTACCGAGTTTGAAGCGTTCATGAGCAGACATTGCAGTTGAATATTCAAGTTCTGAATTTAATTATTGATGAATAATAAAATAAATTCTACTAGCTCGATTGATGGTTTCATTTAATTTATTTAAATCAGGTTACCTATAATAATATTTTTTCGTTAATTTATGAAAATATCAAATTAGCCCGTAATCTTGAATCCTGATACATAAAGTTAGCCTATTAATTTAACACAGGTACGACTGTACTCAGTGTTGCACTATCAAATGCAATTGACGCGCCTCTATGCCAGGGTTTTTATGTTCCTGGTCAGGCTATAATAAGTCTATTGCTGTCCACACCCCTTAAAACCCATATCTAAGCGGGGGACGAATATCCCACCAGCTAACTGCTAACCCAGCGGCTTATTGGCAATTTCCCCCAGGGGCATCGTAGCCACTTTTTGTGGCCGAAATAAAGTCTTCCTTGTTTCAAATTGCATTTCCTTCTTTTGGGACTTAATAACGTATTCACTTTAATTTGTTTCCTTTATTTATTTCCTCTATTTTATTATGTTTTTTCAATTCGGATGAATTAGGTCCTGTTGATGAATTAGGTAATCAATAGGGTACTAAGTATTTTTTTATAATTAGGTACATTATAACAAATTAACTAAGAAAGAAATAAACACAAAGAAAAAATCGAAAGCTTTTTTTCTAATTCATTTAAAAACAGAATCCAATTAATTCTCTTAACGAGAATTTCTGTGGTTGACTCATTGTCCTGTCCCATTTTGTGTCTAAAATAAATAAAATATAATAACAGAACCAACCCTTTTCACCGCCTCGACCTCTAATACTCTCAAGGATAAAAGTTGAACGTGCCTTACCTCTCATCTGTCAAATAATATTCGTGAAAGTGGAACCTCACCTCACTTGAGGTCCTTAAAATATCAAATTACATCACGTCCTGTCACGAGAGGGTTGGTTTTACATAATTACTTGGTTTATTTTTGTAAATCAGCCTTTATGGAGCTGAAAAATAACAATTCCAGTATTTCTTTCAGTGCCTAACTTTGTTGAAAATGAAACTTTACCACTGGCGTTTCTAGGATTATTTTTCAGGGGGGGTGTACCCCTGGCATACGACATACTGTTGTCGCGTTGGATACGGATCATCTTTGAAGCCCCTTTGTAGCCCAACATCCTGGGGTGGGCTGTGCACTTAGACCATTCTGGTGTCTCGGTCCAGCCGCCTGGACTACTCCTGACATTAGATTTCCAACATGTCTGATATTAACAGGCCCCTCTTTCCCACTGGGCACTCTGGGCACGTGCACGGCCCCGCGATCGAAGACCGCCCCCGTCTGTTCTCATATAAGATCTTTCTTCAGATGAGAAGGGCCTCCCTTGATCCTTCTGTGCCCAGGGCCCCTAATAAGTTAAAGACAGCCATGGATATGAAGTATCTATAAACTTCTGTGTGTTTATACTTTATACACAGTTTATAACTGAATCAGCACACGTGTTCAGTTGTTTTCGCCATTATCTTCCGCGCTGCTTCACCTGGCCTACATTCGTATGCCGTGTTAATCCATCTAATCCGCCCGGGTAAACGCGCTGCCAGGTGTAACCTGTTACATATAATATAATGTGCAACTTTAATTAAACTCGGATGGTAACGTAACTTGATGGTAGATTGAACTTTCCTTTATAACTTTTGAGTCGGGAAACCATAATCATTTGTAATGTTACTTCCACAACCAAGCAAAGAGTAATAAAGCACTCTACGTACCGGAAAAAAAAAGAAAAATCTTCCGCATTACACGATACAGCTAAAAAAAATGGGTCACAATTATTATTGGATTATTACATTGGCAATTTACCAAATCCCAAATTAATTCGTTGCCTAGACACCGTAGCATAATGCACCAGTACCTTCAATATCTGACTGCATGTACCGCTACATCGTACATGGCATGCCTTCAAATGCAGCGTCAGCACGCGACATACCAGAGGCCCTATTCTTTTGCCTACAATTTCAATAAATTCGACTTAACTCGTCTCACTCACTCACAGTGAAACGTCCGTGTGAATGATAGAGACGGCTAACATTGAGATTTTCCAACAATTTTCCAGAGTAGGCCTCCAGGCTGACGATTTGTGACCCACTTTATTAAACGGTCATAAGTATTGACAGAACAGCACTTAGTTCGAGTGTCATATGAGTTATTTCCGGTTCAGTCTGGGATACTTTTTAAGCATTAAGTAACAATATTCTTGAATCAGTATTTTTGAGAGTTTGCTTGTAAGAGGTAGAATAGATGCTGCAAAACATAGCAAGTGTAGAGCTATAGAAGCGATCTCTTCCGACCTCGTAAGAAAATAATCGCCAAAGCTACTTATTAGATGGTACATATATGTAAAATCTAGGACCAGATGGACACTGAAAAATATCTTGATTTACCGTGATATAGAGCCGCGTTACGTTTATGTTAAACGTAATTTAATTGAAGTAAAACCGGTTTCCTTCTATTTAACCCCTTGTCAACCGTTCTGAATCCGATTAGTCGCATCCCTCTAAAATCCGACCCGACATTCGACCTTTTAAATTAGTTTTGATACAATAGATGGGTTTAGGCCGCAACAATTTCATAGCGGCTATGTAAGTAGAGCCTTCCTTTTATGCAAGTTATTTACGTGTGAATGGCTCGAGTATGAATAGAAAGGGATTTAAATGTCAACGTCAATAGTCTTTTGTAAAGGGAACATAATTTTATTTTTAGCATAAAAGGGTGGAAGCAAGCCACGTAAACGCGTAGGTAATAGCGTGCAATATAAGTCGTACTTTGTGAAAAAAAACTGCTAGATGAGAGCTCTACTCGCGTCCAGAGGATTCCGTATAGATCTACATTTTTAGCATAATTCACATTATTTTACATGTAGTTAATTCTTCTAAGTTTGGATTTCCCGCTAACATGTCAAAAATAGTTGGTGATTGAGAATCATGTGTAACCTTTGAGTTTCCGTTTTTCCGACTTTGTACGGAACCCTAAACAAAGCTTAACCCTAGATAAAGCTCCTATGTGAGGGACACACGCGTCAATAATAATGTAATTTTCGTGCCACCAGACCCAAGCCGCACTTATGTAATATCAAAATGTGACACTACAAATATTGTGTGCTTTCAATGTGGAATTGCCACAATATGTACAAAATTCCAAGTTACTTATTAGGTTTTCACGTATGAATATTTTTTTATGATTTCACATTCATTAGTAAAGAATAAGGTGGATGGTTTGGTAGAGATACTTGGATGATGGATTATTATTATAAATGGGCTGGAGAATTTTGTCCAAACTAAATCTTTTTAGGGTTAAGCTAAGAGATGAAAAGGTACAAATGTAAGATGCCCAACTTCTTACGTTAGCGATATATTTTTAAGTTTTTGGTAAATAAGTATTTTTGACGAGTGAAGTGACGATAACCGATTTTCTGTGACCGAAACTAGCGATGCTTTTTTAATAATTCTTGCTTAATCCTGTAGCTATATTTATATTCCTATTATTATGAACATTTTACCTTATGACATCTCGTAATAAATCTTCTTCCAGTATATCCAATCAGCATCAACCATGCCGGACTGGACGTGGCTACTCCTGGCCGCGCTTTTCGGAGCGGTGTCGGCGCTGGCGGTGCCGCTGGCTTTCCTCTTCTACATCTTCAGGCCCTTTGTGAAGGATAACCGCCAGGAGGACAAGGTCTGCACGCCGATTACACTGCCACCGGTAAGTTCAAGTTCTTGTGTAGACTTTTGGGCGCATTTACGCGTAGGTCGCGCGCGCGTATTTTTCTTTGCTCTTGCACGATTTTGGGACAACCTATGGGATTAATTAATTCTCACTAAAACGAGATTAGGCAACACATAAACGCTTTTAAAAGGTATAAATGCAACATGAAAGTTTAAAACCTATTGGCTGATGTTGCAAACAAGTTAACACATTGTCCGCGGAAATGGATAATAAACTGAAAAATGAACTTAAAAGGTGTGTAAGTAATCACGGTTAGATCTGAAAGGGGGTCTGGTCTGGTACTTTTTAATTTACTTTTTGTATGGTAAATCTCAAAAAAATCAACTTTACCACTCAAATCCGTCGAAAGTTATAATAGAGTTCCCAAAAATATTTTTTGCTTTGCCCACGTCAAATTGTCAGCAACAGTATTTTCACATCTGAAGTTCAGCACTTGTTGTGAACCCCTTGTTTGTGACCACTTGTTGACTTTCGCTTCTTGGCTTGGCCACCATGATACAATTTGATGTTTATGCCGATTGAAATGTCCTTTTTTTGTAATTATGTGTTTCACTGAATAAAATATCTTATTTCCTTCTTTAAAACGATTTTGCTAAATCATTTTATTACTTAAATAATACTACGCAGTATTCCCCAAGTTATCGCTATCGTAACGCAGGCAGAGGGTATTTCAATGCCATTCCGATACGACATAGAGACGTAGAGCGTCAACCCTTTTAGTATTATTGCCGATGTATCTTAATATAGAGTCTTTTACAGCTTAGTGTGCAAGCAATAAGTACGCGATTCTATTCATATTTGTCGCAGTGACTACTTTAACGCGCAACATAAATTTTCGTAGTCGACTACGAATTACTACTTAATGACTACGAGTACTTACAACTTATAGCCATATTTTGTAAGCGAATTGTCTAGTGCTTTACTGAGTAGTGCCTGTGGTATGGCAGCGGCACGGGAGAGTGCTTTTGTGATACGTCAACGAGACTTCAGATCTTGTTTAGATTTGTATGCTCTGACACGTCATAATATGATAATTTCACTCCTCCTGTGCCACTCCCATACTTTTTTTTTATACCCAACGCGGAACTTCAGCGCATAAGCGCTACCTATACCTAGACAATTTCCTACTATGATTATATGTAGTAGGCTCGATATTGGATCACTCTGTATTTTATGAATTAGTTACTTCTGCTGTAAAATCAATATCAATCAACTGCCACTACAATAATTCCATAAATACCGATAGAGTTTCTCGTGCGTCAAACAACAAACTATGTCTACTTATAATAGCTACCCTGTCCTGCCTACAACAATCTATACATACCTACCCTGACCAAACCCTATTCATCACCGGGACGTAAATTAGATCGATCATTATTCGGGTGATTGAAGATAGATTGCCCGTTCGCAACCCAATGATTACGACAAACAACGTTGTAAGCATTCGACCGAGCCGTGTTTATCGAACGATCCCTACTTTTCTTTCGTCGGCCTACGTAAACATTAATTGGGAATAGGGCTGTACTTTTTTCATTTACTCCCTGATAATTCCCACCTTTTGTGTCCAGGATTAAAGGTCAACTTAGCAAAATGAACGATCCTTCGATGAAAAAATGAGATCATTTGCTCCAGTAGCGCTTCTTGGGGACGCCTTACGTGTAGCAGTGGACTGATATCCCAGATTTTCTTGGTTTATTATACTCAGTTGTGTTAATACCTGTGTTTGGAGAAATGTGTTGTTGTTTAGGTGTCTTTTCGTGTGTGATAGAATCAATAAACTGCAGAAATACAGTTGTATTCTATTTTAAATTTCGAGAAACTCCGAGGAGACAGCCAACTTTTAAACATTCGATTCGTCAATAAAAGGGCAAGAGCCCATCTGTGATATGGATTAGAGGGTTGACAGCCCTGTATGGCTCATTAGTCATTATCAATCGTCGCGGCCGGGGCTGCCCCAAATAAAGCCCTTTAATGACGCCTGCCCCAAATTGTATGTAATGAAATACAAAACGACTTCACTGCCAATGTGTGAAGTTAGGCCACACCCGGACACTCCGTCAAATCTCCAATATTGTCTAGTAAGGCTTCGCTTTTGTACAGGCTAAGCGCCTTTTTGTGAGTTGGGTAATGACAGCTAACAGCTGCTGATCACGGTCCTTCGAACAGAGCTAAGTAATTGCCAAATACTTAGAGACTGATATAACTCACATACGCTTTAGACTCTAAAATTTTTACCACTGAAAATCTTTTGCTTAAATTTCAAATAAGTACGTAGTTAGTTAATTATTTCCTCAGTTATAATAAGTAATTAACATAATATTAAGCATCTATCATAAATCACTTTCCATTACTGGAGCGAAGACATTGCCAAGTTAGTGGTTGCGAAGTGAAAATAGAGTCTTAAGCCCCAATTTCTTGCAGCCTTGGAATACACAATCGGCTTAATTACTTAATTACGTAATCTTGGAAACATTGAAATATTTTACTAACAACGTAATACCGCATTTACAAATTAATTTCGCACGTAACAAACTTTAATAGCTGATCCGAATCATTAACTCCAAGGAGTTTAGCACTTTGACCTACCTAGCTATCATTTAGAAATACCTTCATGAAATATTTATTACTTGCCTAAGTTCATGTTGTGTGGTCATAAATTCATTTTATGTTACGTCGTTATGAATTTTCTTTCATTACATAATAGTTATAGGTGCTCAAGTCGCTAAGTAACTCAATGAGCAATCAGTGTAAAAGCATATTATTATGACAGAAAACAATGATAAATTAAATCAACGTCCTCCATATTGGAGACGAAAGACTGTATTTATTTGTAGACTAGTTATTTTTTATCCTTGAAGCCTTTCCTCCAAAGAGGGGAGAAGATGAGATGTGTTTGAAATAACTAATTCTAGATTTCCGAACCGAAGCTGAGCGCAGAGGACGGAAATAACGAAATCCCATTGGTTATTCCCCTCCTATCCGCTATTGGTACAAACCAGATAAAATGATACAAAGAACCTTAGATCTGAAAATCATTTGCAGGAAATTCTGAATGAGTTGAGCCGAGGAGCTGGTTGTACCCCAGAGGGCGCTCTGAACGCGATGCTGCAGTTCATCTTCCAGCAAAGCACGGCCGACACTCGTTGGCTGCGTCGGCGCATGGCCACGGAACTGGCGGAGCTTCTGGCCAAGACTTCCTCAGGGAAGATCTTTGAGTCCCTTACTGTAAGTGTTTCTAACTTCTGTTGTAATATTACTTAGTGTGGTCCGTGAGCACGTAGAATTTTGTCCAGCTACCCATCCTTCTCGCTCCCGTATAATGATATTGCTAACGCGACTGTGTGACAGGCGCCCGCAATGAGTGTGCGAGCGCGACAGCAACAAAATTACACGTGAGCGATAAGGATGGGTAGCTTGGGGTCATTGGACAAAATTCTACGTGCTCACGGACCAGGCTTTAGCATTAGCTCAAAAATGCATTTCTTTAAAAAAAAATGCTAGCTTTTGGCAAGGGTTTCAAAAACCTATCGGGACTATTCCCAAAATACGACCCCCTTTGGTCGTTAAGATGTAACGGCCAATGAAATCCAACCAGTTAAGGATAAATAGTCCCGGGGGATAACTAACATTGACCCCGCATCGAAATTACTATAAGTAATTGTTAACTCTGATGATATAGGATTATAATTTATTTTTCCAGCTCCGCTCCTTGGAAGTGGGTTCAGAGTTTCCCATCATCACGAACATGCGTCTTCTAAGCGGGGAGTTGGAAGATGATGGAGCACGTCTGAGGTCGCTGGACCTTCGGTTCGACCTGGCCTATGACGGCAACTTCAGGATCGATGTGGACGCTGTTATGCTGCTGGGAAAAATCGCAAACATATCTATTACAGGTAAGATACATTCCTTCGTTTCAATCAAATGACGTGCACTGCTTGGCTAAAGCCTTTTCAAGGATTTCCACAACGATCGGTCCTTCACCCGCATCCAGGTGCTTCCCGCGACTTTCACAAGATCCTTAATCCACTGAATCATCAACATCATCATCATCTCAGCCATAGGACGTCAACTGCTGAACAAAGGCCTCCCCCAATGCTTTCCATGCTGTCCGGTTGGTAGCGGCCTGCGTCCAGCGCCTTCCTGCTACCTTTATGATGTCGTCGGTTCACCTTGTGGATGGACGTCGCACGCTACGTTTTCCGGTACGCGGCCGCAACTCCTGAACCTTACTCCCCCATCGGCAATCCACTGAATGGGAGGCCTGAAAAATACATTGTATAGCTAATAAATTCTTTGTGAAAGATCAATAGCTCTTAAAAAATTTTGTATCCCTGCTCAATTTTCTATCAGGTCAAGCACAAACCATGCATTTTTTTATTTCGAATATAGAAGACATATAAAATAGTTTCTATGTTTCGGCATTCTTGTTACAGTGGAAAGCATTAGCGGTACAGTGCGCATTATGTTCCGCCGAACGCCGTACACACATTGGGCGCTCGCCTTCGAGTCGCCGCCCAAGCTAGAGCTACGAGTACGAGGCCGCTTCCAGGGACGCCAACTCAAGCCTCGGCTGGCTTCGTTAGTAGCAGCTCATATAAGGAGAGCCGTGGCGCAGAGGCACACGCTGCCTAACTACAAGATACGGTTGGTGGAATTGCTTATTTTATCGCTTATCCACAACTTGATATAGGATCTCGCAAGGCACAACGCTGAGTACTTATGATCTGCAGCAATTATTTGTTTATTTTTGGGCTATCTTACTGAACACCGTACACATCATGCCATCGTTTCACGCAGAGACATGCGCTGCTTTGCTACAAGATTCGTTTGATGACATTTGGAATATCTCACCATCAGTACTCATCTGGTTATAGGACTCCCACAAGGCACAATACTGAACCCAATCTACATCACAGCTAAAACTTGCCAAAAACTTAGTCGTAGTCTTCAGTACTTTGGAGATTTTTGTGAAACCATCCTTATGAAAATCATTCTTTTGTTTCCAGCTACAAACCCTTCTTCCCCAAATCCGAACCAGGCAGCACGGAAGGTGAAGACGGGCCGACTCCAAACGGCCGGTTGACAGTACGACTAGTTGAAGTCACGCGGCTACAATGGCCGGGGCAAGTCGGCACTGTGCGGGCGGCCTTAGCTGTCGACTCTCATGGATGGGTAAGTGGTGAAATAAAGAAACGAACATTCAAGACTCTTTCTTAGGCTGAGTTGCACCACCTATCTTTTACCGTAACTATAACGATAACCGATGTATTTTGTATGGAGTTTGACAGATTTTTGATGTTTGTCAAAGCTAAAGTGCAATGAGTTGCACCATTTTACGTAGAGTGTGAGCGTTGAAATTAAACTCACCATCTGCATCTGTAGCTTTAATGAAATCTAATATATTGGAACAGCATCTGTAGGTAAACCTAACAAGCTCACTGCAGAGTTTTTGCCACGAATGCGATACTATTGTTTTTTTGCATTTCTTCCACTAAGCTGCAGAGATATTATGTCTCCTGTTAAAATGGTGTGTGTGTGTGTGTGTGTGTGTGTGTGAAGTTGAAATGGTTATTGTAGAATGTCATACATATTCTAGTTATTTTCTGTATTACCACTCGAATAAATATATATTTTTTTTTTAATTTTATTTTATCTATTTAATTTTAACTTCCATCGGTCTTCAGGTATCCTTACGGCGGGGTGTGTTAGTACTAGACATAGTACTGCCAGCGGTCGCGGGGCCTCTCGGCTTGGTGTGCTGCCAAGGAGTGGGCGTGGTGCTAGTAGATACAGTGGTACCCATGTCGCCGGCCTACCGCGCTGATCTGAGGAGGGATGACGTAGTCCTGGCTATAGACAACAAACCCATCAACAATGTTGCACAGGTATAATATAAGATACAATCGCGGTCCCAACATAGACCCTTGCCGGGCTCCACATTAAAAAATATAAAACCTTGCAGAGCTCCAAAGTAAGAAGACTTTGGAGCTCTGCAAGGTTTTATGTTGGGTCCTCGATTGTGAGTTGCCGAGGAGTGGTCGAATGCTAGTGGATATCGTGGTGCCCATGTCGCCGGCCTACCGCGCTGATCTGAGGAGGGATGACGTAGTCCTGGCTATAGACAACAAACCCATCAACAATGTCGCACAGGTATTTATGATAGCTCGTAAGTGTACTGAGATAAAGCCTTTTTTTACTGCTTCTGTGTTGGTTCCACAATTGTATGTGACCAAAGAACAGGTGTGGCTAGCACATAATTCAGCCTTTTTTACTGTGGGGCTCTACAAGGTTCTATGTTGAGCCCTCTATTGTAATTTGCCAAGTGGGCGTGATACTACTAGATACCGTGGTGCCCTTGTCTCCGGCTTCCGCGCTGATCTAAGGAGGACGCGATTAAACCGAACCAAAGAGTGTGTGTGGCTAGCTGATACTCACCCTTTTTTCCTGTGGGACTCTACAAGGTTCTATGTTCGGACCGATTTCAGTTACCAATCGTTTTCATTGTTTCAATCCTCCGAATAAACCCATATTCTTCTGTTCTTCAGGTAGGCAAACTCCTCCGCTGCGTTGAACGTCGCGCAGTTACGGTGCGCGTACGACGCGGTGGGACCAACGGTAATGCTCGCCGAGACGACACCGCGCCGGAGCCGAGACGTGTCCGGCCCAACTTCACCTTCAGACGCGTGTCAGAAGTCATGGAGGGGGTCAGACTTCAGGGCATGAGGGCGGCCGCTTCTAGGAGTAATTTACAGGTATGTAATTTAACTATAGAGAAACATTTTCATATTTCTTGATGATTAATACTTATTTATGTTAAGCTTGATCTACATTTGCTTTAAAGTCATTTATGTTTCTTACGTGGCTATTTACTCTTTTTCGCTTCACTGATATACCAAAAACTATGGGTTGAGATTCAATAAGAAGTGGAAAATAATAAATCCTTTTCAAATAATTTGATGAAATAGATATTTCCTTTATCCAGGAACCTGACCAATCCCCAGCCAAATCACCGGAACCGCCAATTGAGACTGAACCACAAGCAAAACCCAAAACTGACCCAGCAAAACCGCCAAAATCGACAGAGCAAACCCCCGGGAACTTCGGCCTACGCAAACGCCGATGTTCCGTAGAAAATAAGTCTTCCGACAGCTCTGCGGGAAGCACCCCTCCCGCCTCAGGCGCCAGCACCCCCCTCAGACAAGTGACAGCTGTCAACAAAACTGTCAAACACCCTGACATACCCATCATTAGGACGGACTCATCGGAATGCAAGGTCACAGAGAAAGGAGACGTGTTGGACGACGAGGAACAAATATTTGAAACAGGCGGACCAAGGCAGTGCGAGCATGTAGAGATTTGTCAAATGTTTTGGACCAAGAGTATACCATTGAAACCTATCATACCTTTCGATGAGGAAACGGAGTTCAAACTAAATGAGAATCACAAGTATTTGAATATAAATGTGTGGGCCACGGTAACGGGGGAGAAAGACGAAATTTTGTTAGGCTATTTAAATATTCCACTTGCTGCTTTGCTGGCGGAGTGTCAAGACTCGACAGTGCCCCATCATATGAAGAGATACCAGTTTCTGCCTCCTGATGTCGATATCAAATTTAGGTAAGGGAACCCAATGTTTTATTTTAAGTAATAACATTATTCAAGTGATAACCCCATGAGAATCTATTGTTCAATGGATCAATTCACTCACCTCGAATCACTCGATCCACTACTGCTCTCTTCGGTTTCAGAATGGATCTCAATGCACATTTGAAGTTTTAATTTGAATCACTAAAGGAACTGAATACTAAATAATAAAATTTAGACCCAGCCAGACCAATAGTGAATCCCAATGTGATAGTCACACAGAAAATCAGCGTCAGTATATCCTTTTAGCGGCCTGCGTCCAGCGCTTTTCTGCTACCTTTATGATGTCGTCGGTCCACCTTGTGGGTGGACGTCCCACGCTGCATTTTCCGGAACGCGGAATCCACTCCAGAACCTTGCTGCCCCATCGGCCGTCAGTTCTGCGTACTATGTGCATTGGACATGGAAAGCATTGGGGAGGCCTATGTTCAGCAGTAGACGTCCTATGGCTGAGATGATGATGATGATGATATCCTTTTAGATTAAAAGAATAAAAAAGGTATGTCAAATTCTCTCTCCTCACAGCAAAAGCCACAAGCTGTCCTCCCACGCCGGCTTCGAGCCGTGCCTGTGTTTCGGCGACGCGCTAGTATGGTGGGAGTGGGAGGGGGAACTTCGGGGACAGGGGTCCACCTGTAATAAATAAACCCCATGGAGCTTGTGTCCTATTGCAGTTTCAGGATGGGTTTCAATGAATGCCTGATGGAGTTTTCATTTGATCCACTGATGCTTGAAAGTACCTACTTAGATATCAGATAAAAAGTCTGTCAATTTCTCTCTCCTCACAGCAAAAGCCACAAGCTGTCCTCCCACGCCGGCTTCGAGCTGTGCCTGTGCTTCGGCGACGCACTAGTATGGTGGGAGTGGGAGGGGGAGCGCAGGGGGTAGGCTCCGTCTCAATAATAAATCCCATTGAAATGTACTGTTCAATAGAACAAATAGCACTTAGGTATTTTCCGAATGTTCATTATAGATTGGGGATTGACAGAGTATCTACACAGTAGATAAATCATATACTGTGGTATCTACCTATGTCAGATTCTTTTTCCTCACAGCAAAAGCCACAAGCTGTCCTCCCACGCCGGCTTCGAGCCGTGCCTGTGCTTCGGCGACGCGCTAGTATGGTGGGAGTGGGAGGGGGAACTACGGGGGATAGGGGTCCGCCTGTAATAAATAAAGCCCATGGAGCTTGTGTCTTATTGCAGTTTCAGGATGGATTTCAATGAATGCCTGCTGGAGTTTTCATTTGTTCCACTGATGCACCTTGAAAGTGTCTACTTAGATATCAGATTTAGACTTACACCCAAAGAATCCCAATGTGGTATTCACTCCGAACCGCCAATAGATATCCTTGCAGATTGAAGAGATAAGAAAAAGTCTGTCAATTTCTCTCTCCTCACAGCAAAAGCCACAAGCTGTCCTCCCACGCCGGCTTCGAGCCGTGCCTGTGCTTCGGCGACGCGCTAGTATGGTGGGAGTGGGAGGGGGAACTACGGGGGACAGGGGTCCGCCTGTAATAAATAAACCCCATTAGAATTTACTGTTCAATAGAACATATAGCACTTCACTCACTCGAATCACTCTTTAAGATCCATTACTGTTCTCTGTGGAGCTTGTTTGGAGTTTTCATTTGGTCTATTAATGGAACTGGAAAGTGGATATGAGATTTAGATCCTTAAGATATTCAATAGGACTCTATGTGGTATTTTCCGAATTGGGGATTGACAGTACCTAAAGTACCAACTAGCAGCGATACAAAAGGTCGATACGACTGTCGAGTTGACAATATATTCTGTCTCTTTCCATCTTGTGCATTTGTCGTAATGTCTCGTTATCCCGCCAAAATATGTCAAAGTCAGACGGGTTCACCCATGACATTGGGTGTGTTTACATTTGGTATCGCTTCTCGTTGGCCGTATTATGTCAGATTCTTTTTTCTCACAACAAAAGCCACAAGCTGTCCTCCCACGCCGGCTTCGAGCCGTGCCTGTGCTTCGGCGACGCGCTAGTATGGTGGGAGTGGGAGGGACATCTACGGGGGACAGGGGTCCGCCTGTAATAAATAAACCCCATGGAGCTTGTGTCCTATTCCAGTTTCAGAATGGATTTCAATGAATGGATGATGGAGTTTCATTTGATCCACTGATGCAACTTGATAGTACCTACCTACTTAGATATCAGATTTAGACTTACACCCAAAGAATCCCAATGTGGTAATCCACACCGAAAATCATCGTCAGTAAATCCTTATAAATTGAAAGAATAAGAAAAAGGTATGTCAAATTCGGAAACGTGGCCTCTCAGGCCTTATACAGAAGCTCAAAGTTGCACAGCGTGCTATGGAGAGGGCTATGCTTGGTGTTTCTTTGCGAGATTGAATCCGAAATGAGGAATTCCGTAAACGAACTAAAGTCGCTGACATAGCCCGACGGATTAGCAAGCTGAAGTGGCAATGGGCAGGGCACATAGTACGCAGAACAAACGGCCGATGAGGCAGCAAGGTTCTGGAATGGAGGCCGCGTACCGGAAAACGCAGCGTGAGACGTCCACCTACAAGGTGAACCAACGACATCGTAAAGGTAGCAGGGAAGCGCTGGACGCAGGCCGCTACCAATCGATCAACGTGGTAAACATTGGGGGAGGCCTATGTTCAGCAGTGGACGTCCTATGGCTGAAATGATGATGATGATGATGTCAAATTCTCTTTACTCACAGCAAAAGCCACAAGCTGTCCTCCCACGCCGGCTTCGAGCCGTGCCTGTGCTTCGGCGACGCGCTAGTATGGTGGGAGTGGGAGGGGGAGCTGCGGGGAGGGGGCGGGGCCCGCACGCGCGCCCCCCGCGACGCCCCCCCGGCGCCCCCTCAACCGACCCGCGCGGCCCATGACTTTGTACGGACGCACTTCCACAGGTCAACGCAGTGCGACTTCTGCAATAAGAAGGTCAGATTTGAATTTATCTATGGAACATATACAGGGTGGAAACGTTAAGTGAGATCTCACTCGATTATTTCTAAACTATACAAGATATCGAAAAACTGATTACTGATCCTATCTTGTATAGTTTAGAAATAATCGAATGAGATCACTTATCGTTTCCACCCTGTATAGTAATCGGTTTTGTGACTAAATTGATTTATTAGACGAGAGCATGCCAAAGAGAACCCCAATTTAGAATAATCATGACAGTGCCACAACGCTGATTTTGGAGCACCAAGAGAACTCCGTACTCTAAGGATCAGAGTTTGGCTTCTACATAAGGTTACACGCAGTGTTAATTAACTTTTTCACCATCATTATCATCAATCCCAATTTTCAAGTGATCTTTATGAAAACAAAATTCATAGTATGTGTTACCATAGGGGTCACTTAAAAATTAGGGATTGATGGTGAAAACGGGTATTGTGTATGGGTCCTTTGTGTGACCGCTACCAACCAGCTGCCAACCAACCATCCAAAAATAATAGAAGAAAAGATCCACCTGCTAGACAGCCACCTAGTCTAGTGCCAGACTACTTTGCCAGAGGTCGCGGGTTCGATCCCAGCACAAAACAAGCACGCTTGTATTGAGACCAGCTGGCTTTATTGAAAAATTCACATTTTCACCCATTCACTAAGATATTTTATCACAGATATGGCTGAAAGACGCGATGCAATGCAGAAACTGTGGTCTGTGCTGCCACAAAAAGTGCGTCGCCAAATGCCAAGAGTCGTCGCCCTGTATACCCAAACAGGACCGAGGTAAGTAACACCATGTATAAAAGTTCGTTGCATGTTTGTGGTGGCGTAGGCATTTCATCATGAGAAAAAGGAGCTACATGACCCAGTTGTGTAATAAGGAAAATTAATAGTAATAAAGGCAGTAGAAGATAGCTAAAAGTGACTCAATGAAAAAAGCGAGAAATCATTCATTGTTGTGACGTTCTTTGGTCGCCCAATGATGATGATGATGTAGATAACAGCAAATAAGATTAAGATAAAAAAAACCCTAGACGATGGTCATCCCATACCGTTCTCATTTTACTAGAAAAAAATATTGTGCTGAAATAAACTGAAATGATGACGATTGTTACTCACGGCAGGATAAGAATAGGTGGGTGTACTCATAGGTACTTTAACTTTCAACTGGAGCGATTCAACGCTTGGCTTAACGGAGGGATGGTTGCAATTTTGACGCAATGTGAATTCTATTTCAAGGTGTTTATGACATCATTTAGATTCAAAGCAACTTGTTGCATATTCATTTGGTCTATGTTGGTACATTATATTTGAATAAGACTCAATATTGCTACCATAATACACAACACCCCTTTATGTGTTCATCAGTCACTCACAAGTTCACAACATGTCCCGTTTGCTTTTCCTAATTATTAAGAGAAAGTTCTGTTTAGAATTTGTTTAGTTAAAATTATTATCGTTATCAAAATAGATCACTTCATATTTGAAAGTAAGAAATGCATCAATTATATCGAAAGCGCAATGAAATCATTGTTTCCGGCTCGGACAATGCACTGTGCAATAAACTTATACCTAAATAAATTGCGCCTGCACCTTCAGAAAGTCGGAACCAGACGTCAGGATCTGACATTGAGTCGTCATCTAGATCTAGTCCATTGTCAAGAGCAAATATTTTTGCCGTCCTTTGACGTCACCTTTCTTTGTTCACATTTCCTACACACATCATTGCCAAGTTTTGGTGAATAATCAACGCGATCATTAAGAACTGCGTTTCCCGAAACATGGTTTTTGGATGTGACTTCAGCGGGAATCATTGGGATAGCAGACTCATAGCATATTACTCAAAATATTATTGTCGACTACGAGTCACATCTTCTGAGTTGGTGATTTCATCCAGTCCCGTGTCGGTGTTTGGAATGGATGACTTAGATTTCACACCACAGATGTAACAGATTTGACAAATGTCTCCTTAGATGCGAAAAAAATATTGTTTCCCAAAAAATAAATCGCCCATGAAAAGGTGGAATCCCTGAAAAAAAACATTATTTAGTTTGGTATTTTGTACAATCGCGTTATTTCATTCTACTCATTCCATATTTTAATATTCCATATTACTCTTTAAAACATGACTGAAGCGCTCGAATCTTTGCCACCTCAGTCCAAATAAAACCCGAAAAAATTCCAAGAAAAGTTCAGCATTTCTTTAACCTGATGCTGGCAAAACAAAGTAAAGTAAATGAATTCATCAACACTTTACTCATTTCCAAATATATTTTTACTGTTCTTTAACGTTTCTGTTTTCTTTTTGTATGCTTCAAAAGGAATAAAATTTACGTATAAGCGCGTTCGTGATCTCTTTGAAATCGGGCCAAATGATTTGCTTGGTGTTGTGCTAACGACCAGCGGTCGGCGACCTTCGGCCATCAACGCGGACGTCTCACTGAGGATATTATCATTTATTTTGGATTTCGGAATGTTTTGCAAATATTAAAATACAAAAGTAAAGACTAAAACACACGCTTTAAATTACAATTCAAACGTTGAAAAGATAGGCAGACAGGCACTCACTAAGTAACAAAATTACGAATCAAAATAATTCATTGTAACATCGAATAAAATTAAAATCGTAATTATATACAATTTGTTATTAATTAATGTTCCTACCGACACTTTACGAGAATCCAAAATTTCCGCGATTTAAAATAAGTAGGTAGGTATACCTACCAAATTGCCTCGCGGAACTATCACCTCATAGATAACATCGCCATTAATTCATTATTACCCTCATACATGCTATGCGATATGGTATTATGACATGAAAAATTACAGTCATAACATGTCCACGTCAATACTAACAGAACGCAAATTGAATTATGTTAGGCAACGCGAAGTAGATCGCATATGATTAGTGTAATATTCTCTGTACAATAAAATAAAGTAACAACGTGTTACACACGCGTGGCGCGCTAGCAATCCGGCAATGTGGAATTTTATTTAGAGGCTGTTGCGTGAACGTTGCGAATGCGACGCGGAAGGCAAGGTGCGCTAGTTGGTCGTGTTGCAAAGCCACCAACCCGCTTCTAGCTGGTAACGAAAGAACAACAATGATTAAGCTTAGCTAAGACTTACCTGTGTGAATCCCCAACCCATCTGCCCAAGGGGAGTTTAAACCAAACCTCCGTTTTACTCTAGTAAATTGGAGAAGGTCGTGGTGGCAGCAGTGAAGAGTAGGTTCTTAAAGTTAACATAGAACTGGAAACTGGACTTAAAACATCGTGTATTACGTATTTTACAATAGAGTTTTATTTATTATCTCTCTACATTTTAACAGACAATTTCTCACGTTCGTTTCTACAGACAAATTACAAAACAAAGTAATATAAAAAAATCTTGAAATATAATCTTATCCTTCACAGAACTTTCAGATACAACTTTAATATTTCCTAATACAATTATTTGTTCAGTAAAAAGAATAATCACAGTTTTGCGATTCATTATTTCTCATTTCCGTATTACAATTAAAAACAAATAATAAAATGAGTTATGCTAATGCGGAATACCGCAAAAGATAATTATTACAATTGAGAACTTACTTAGTTGTGTTTACAAAACATTTTGTCACTAGGAATGATTGTTTTCCGTGTAACTTCGTAAATGCGTAGACTCTACCTGTTTTTTCCGCTGTTACGATCATTGGCACAAACAATGCGTTAAAATGTTGCCAATTAGCGTAATTACAATTGCACAACAATCGGAATGTATTACTTGAAAATAGATCACGATATCTTTCAGGAAATCGCATAATTCAAGTCCACATTTTTACTCAATGCGAGTGAAAAAAATTTGCGAGAAAATTGAAAGTAGGTCTCAACTCAAACGATGTAATGTAAGAAATGCGCAGTTATTTTATTATTTTAAAACTATCACGACCGATAAACATTTTTAGTAAGGAGACGTTTAAAAATAAAAGTGTTCCATCTCTACCGTGATTTCGTAGTATGAATCCTCATTTAAAAAAACAAAGTAAAGAACTATTGTAATAACATAGTTCAAATGTTACTATTTTCTAGTTGCATACAGCACTCTATCGATGCGTTTCTTCGTCGTTACAATGCACAAACTGACTACCTTATGCCACTATTTAAAAAAACAGGTGTATTGTATTTGTCCACAGACAAATCGACGAGCCTCAACTGCCCTCCTCCTGAGCTGATCATGACAGAAGCGGATTCCATTGCAGACCCTGACTCAGATGATGAACCAGAACGAAAAGATTCCCTTGACGTACACGAGGAGGGTAAGTTAACATTTCTTCACAATGATGAATTAGAATTTGTAAAGTTCTTTGTATATTTTTGTTATTATTCTGTTATTACCAAAAAAAGCAAAATTTTTACATTAGATAGAGAACCCGTCAATAGCCTATCAATTGGTTTTATTTGCAGCAGTTTTCAACTGACAAAAATGTTTGGCATTTTAAAATAATTAAAAAAAAATCATTTATTTCCAAAAATACTTGTATACAGAGTTATTACCGAGTCTTCCCGGTAAGTAGTCAGAGACACTTGTATTGGGAATAACTCGACAACATTTTGTTTTTGTTATTGAAATCCCCAAAAGATTCCTATTTTTAATATTGTTTCTTTTGTTTTCATACACACAGACGAATTATACGAATGCTGACACGCGCAGTGCTTACCGTGTAGCTAACGGTACACGGAGCAATCGACTCGCTCAGACTCAGGTTTCTACTATTATATTTGTCTGGATCTGTCCATTTCCTGGGAATCCCCCGTTAGAGATCATGGTCCTTTGTTAATGTTTCTGTGAATCTGTGCTCCCTTTCATACCGTGCTAGATAGTACCTTGCTTTTTCTATGTGATATAAACTTTGTGATAACAGACCCAGATGCCTGCATTGATATGATTTTGGATGATAGAGACTGTTCTATGGTGCCAAATATGTAATGTTTTAACAAAAAATTCTAACTATTAACTTTTACATCAGTTTACTTTAAAGTTACAGTTGCGTGTGTAAAACATGCATGTGCGGATATTTTACACTACCGCATAAAAAGCGGATGCAAGTACTTATACCCATGTTACATCACTATTGAAGTACCTAATTGGGCTTTGTAAATTATAGGAAAATTATTAAGTAGTCCAATGTACGTAATATTATGTAGGCAGGCTCATTACTTTCCGGTAGTGGCTTATTACTTTTACTGAGTTATTTTGAAGGTCGCGATGTATTTTCTTTGTCTTAGTTCACTTTTCCTGATACCAAGTAGGCTACGCGTTGACCTTACCGATGCTTCCCGAGAATGTAGAAAATGTTAGTTGTAGAGTCGAGACTCGAAAGTGTGTAATTGTTTCGCCAACTGTGTGTTCCTCTTTTGTTTGTGAAACTGCAGGGCGATATTTGTGTAATAGAGATCATCTTGTGTAGAGAAAATTGACAAGTTTGCATTCTTTTCTCGGGTGAAAATCATACTAAACATCCAAGCGTTGCTGAAAATAAAGCCGTCACATTTTTCTCTATTTCGAGATGTTCTCTTTTGCACTAAAATCGCACCCGGTCTGTAAAATGTAAGTCCTATGAAACGCATGGAGTGGTTTATGTGTATGTGTGGGGGTGTTCTTCTTACTTTTGAATTGGTGAAAACAATGCGTACAAACTTACACTAAATTTTTCAACATAATATTTATGTATTTAACTTATGTTCGCATAAGTATTTATCAACATAATATGCGCATCACCACAATACTGTCTACTTAGGTGTTAATTATACTTTTTTTTCTATGTTACATTACATTGTTAGCAACTAGTTTGTCCTTTAACGCTCTGTTTGCCATATTTAAGACCGCTCGAAGATTTTATATTAGTGGTTTATTTCACAAACGGTGCAACATGCCTCTAACAAACTAGTTTACTGAAATCTGACACACAATTACTAAAGGATGTGCACATTTTTGTTACAAACGCACAGACTGTTTATTCTGATTATTTCACTTCTGTGCAACTTGTCTTAATAAAATTGTAATATACTCGTTGCAGTGAGCCACTTATTTATAAATTCGTTTATTGCAGGTTAATTAGCATAATAATATTAAACCACTGGATCATCCATCAGAAAAGTTTGACGAGATATGAGTGTTGGCCAACGGGTTTGTTTACGCTACAATTAATGTAAAGAATTCTACGTAATTGATGTAGAGTCTCACAATACTTTTTCTTGATAACAGTCTCAAGCGATGGGAGATGAATGATCAAATTGCTGAACAGATTCTAAAAAGACGCAAAATCTCGATTTAAACTCAAGCATGATAAATATTTAAACTAACCTGAATACAGAATTGAATCAATTTTAAAGTGTACGATACATTAACTTATAATAGGTGTCGTATCGGTAGTATACAGGCCTACCTTACGTTCTCTTGTGACTTGAAGACCCTCAAGTGGTATAGATTCTGGAATACACATGTCGTAGGTAAAGATAGTACCAAATCCCTGGTCCCAAACGTCCAATATGCCATACCTCCTTGGAATCTCTTAACCCAATGTCCCATTGACCAGGAAGAAAGACTGCCACACTAGATGCTTTTAGTACTGGTGAATATAGTTACCTTGCTGAACTGCACCGGCTTGCTCGCGTCAAAATCTAGCGTATTGCGCCTAGTATCGATGCCCAGATGCCCACTCACGCTTTCTCACTTCTTGAGCGTGAGCGAAAGCATTCAGCAGCCGCATTACGGCCACATGACACACATTTACTGACTCACCAAAGTGAAGTCAACTTATTTATTGGTATTTCCCAAGGTCGTCTTTGGGTATACGAGTATGTACACTAGCAGGTTGCTGACACATAGCTTTCAAGACGCCAATCACCTATGCTAAAGCCTGGTCCGTGAGCACGTAGAATCCCGTCCAATGACCCCAAGCTGCCCATCCTTGTCGCTCGCACGTAATTATGTTGCTGTCGCGCTCGCACACTCACTGCGGGCGCGCGTCGCACAGTCGCGACAGCAATATAATAACGCGCGAGCGATAAGGATGGGTAACTTGGGGTCATTGGACGGGATTCTACGTGCTCACGGACCAGGCTTTAAAAGTATCAAGCGTGGCTCTCGCCGTGCCAGTGAGTTCACCCTTACATCGCAGGTGGCGGGGCCATGAGCGCGCTTGTGGCGGGGCTGCGACGCGCCGGCTCCGCGCACTCGCTGTCCGCGCCGAAGACTTGCTCCTCCTCGCGGTCGCTGCCACCTTCGCCGAGCCATACGCCGAGGTAAACATCGAAGAGCTCTGAATCTCGTAGATTGTGTGTGAAGAACCTGCATGTATCTATAACTCTATTTCTAGATCCAAAGATTCCTACTTGTTCCATTGTGTTTTCTAATTTGGTTTCACGTGTTTCTGATTGCCCCATTTTCCATTATTTTGAGTAAGATATGAAATAAATGACAATAGCATGAGATATTATGAGAACAGCGATTTGTCCATTGACTATTTTTTACCCCTTTTGTGTAAAACTAATGCCTTTTGAGGATGTCACGTTGTGTCACTCTTTTTCATGGTCTTGGTTTCTTCTATTCCTTCTATTAGCTAGATTCTAGAGAAAAATTGATGTTATTTACCCACGTATAAAGACGAAAACGGCGACATTTTTCACGATCAGCCCTTGTAACGCAAAGGAAGCAGTCTCTCGAGCCGGTGGGCAACCCGTTCGCCGGGTGCGGGGCGACGTGGCTGGCGAGGGGCGGCGTGAGTGCCATGCTGCAGCCGGCGCTGCGCAGCGCGCTGCCGCCCGACGCGCTGCTGGCGGCCGCGCGGGACTGCGCGCCTGAGCTCGCCGCCAAGCTCACGGCCAGCCAGATACACGAGATGGTGAGTGTCTAGCGGCGCCTGCCACGTGGCGGCGAGGGGCGGCGTGAGTGCCATGCTGCAGCCGGCGCTGCGCAGCGCGCTGCCGCCCGACGCGCTGCTGGCGGCCGCGCGGGACTGCGCGCCTGAGCTCGCCGCCAAGCTCACGGCCAGCCAGATACACGAGATGGTGAGTGTCTAGCGGCGCCTGCCACGTGGCGGCGAGGGCGGCGTGAGTGAGTGCTAAGGCACACGATGCGTTGCGGCGGCGGTGCAACGCTGGAGCGGTCTATTTCTAGCGGCAGAAGTGATACCCGTCTGACGCTGGGCAGTTTGAAATGGCTCAATTGTAAGAACAGCTTAACATGCCCAAGTGCCCACTGACTGAATCATTGAATCATATTCCTTTTACTAACGAAACTGGAAGTAATTTGTCTAAAATAACTTCTGGATTCGTTCCCATTATCTAAAATCACTTCTGAATTACACTCGAGAGCTATGAGAACGAACTATCCACTCCTAGACAAAGAGGTGCGGCGAATGCCAAACGTGTTGCTTTGTCCTTCCAGCTGTAAGCAATCCCCAAAGATCTATCAATGACATATCAAGCGTGTTACTTTTATCTTTCCAGCTGCAAGCGGTCCGCGAGGAGCTGTCAGCGGATGACACGCACAGCGCCGAGGGCGAGGGCCGCGCGTGCGCGCTGACGGCGCTGATGCTACACTGCTGTGCGGCGGCGCAGGTGGCGCAGCAGGCCGAGCCCGCGCCAACTTGAACTTAATAAATTATTGTCATTGTACTTGGCGTCTCATTCAAACCCTAATCTTTCCCCCTAGCATTGGGGACAAACTTGACCGTCACTGATTGGATTTTTATTGGCGGTCAAACTGTAGATCCTGGCTACACAGAAGTTGCAGCAGTGGAAACGAGAGGTTAGAATAGTCCCGTTAGCATTTGTTTTTCCTCGTCTTTGTTTCAACCAAAGAACGTCCTGGACAAAGACCTAATGATTTCCACAACGACGCTGCATCCAAGTCATGTTTGTTTATGCATCAAAAAGTCATGGTAACCAAGTGTTTCCCGCCGGCCATCAGTTCTACAGGTCATGTGGCCACCCGTACCTACTCCAAGGCTAAGAATAAACAATGTAAAGAGCATTGTTTTTCTTCTCGTCTTAAGTTTTCATAAAGCGCGCTTTTCATGTTAGGGTCAAGCTCTATTGTCGCAAACAAGAACAACATTAATAACATAACAAAAAGCGAAGTAAACAAAACATTACTTATTTTAATTTTAAAGTTCATTGACACTATCAAAACATACTATTTCGTGTACATTTACTATAATTAGTTAAGCATTATAGCCAAATGAAAGCTCTTCAAACGATTTGATACGTAAATACATTTCCTACAAAGCAATTGCTTAAACACATGAGTGGGTCTGGTAAACATCATAATAATGGTGTTATTTTTAACCATCACATTCTAATTTCTAAACATCGTGAATTTCAGCCTTAACATTGAATTATTTGTTAAGAATCAAAACAACGGCTGGAAAAACATTTCACAAACAGACCTCGTGGCAATATTCCCATTTATATCTTGATTTAAACAAAGGAAATTAGTGTGAATGATCCCAAGAACTGAAATTTTGGGGGAGAGAATAAATCTGAAGCGTATGTTGAAGGAGGAAGGATTATAATTAAATATTATTGTCCAGGGATCGAAGCGCGTGTGTTTGAACTGCGTCGAAAATCCGCTCGAGGTGTTTGGCTCGAGTCCAGGTTTTCCTGAAATAGCACAAAGGATCGACCTCAAACTCCGCGATGGAAAAAACTTCTGCGAAATGTCAGCGGTCGCGAGTGCGCGGAAAATTCGGTGCGTCAGACCGCGTGCGCGCGCGTCTACAAAGCGCTTGTTTTCCTTGACCACGTTCTTATTCCTAATTGCGTTACGGAATAGAAAAAAATAGAGCAAACAGATTGAGAACATTAAATTATTTATATTAACTGATGACTGACATTTTTATTGAGTGTTTTTATTGAGAGATACCTAAGCACGTTATCAAATCTAATTGATCGTAAAATCCTGGACAAGCCTGATTTGCCTTTAGTGCACACCTCCTACTTTATTGTAGAGAAATAACGAACAAAAGGCGAACTTTTGTCATAGGTACTCATAGGGTATTCTCTATTAGCCAAACCCTATCAGAGAATTAAACTCGTGTTAAAAGTTATACAATGTTTTATGGCTTGTGAATTTTGAATCAGAGTTCAACAAAACCAGTTCGAACTGCTTACTGTTTAATTCACTCATCGCTTTCAACATGAAGAAAATTTAATGTTCTGTGTAAAGTAGGTGAATAAGGTTAAATTTTCCGCGCACTGATGTGTACAGTAATAAATTTCTCAATAAATACAAAGCAGATGCTCCAAAATGTAGGCCGTGTGAGTTAATAGCCGTAGATGCGAGGTCTTTTGACTTTCTATGCGTAACGAAAGAACTAACCCAAACTAACCAAGGTAAGTATAGAGATTTGAATTGAAGCTTTTAAAAGACACCTAAGTTCTAATTTAATTATTATCAGTAAACAGTCAGTAGACAGTCACGAAAATTTTCCAGATATTCACAATAACATTAATCGTAGTAAAGATAATAAAAATATGTTTATCTCCGCAATCGCCTGCGTTTGTTTTCGTTGATCCGTCCAAAATAAAGGAAACATCGGCTATAATGTTTGCGAGTTTTGCAAACTTCCCTGTTTATTTGCAAACAAAATAAGTGGTTACCGTTTTAATCGTAGCACGGGACATGGGAATAGTTCTTGGCTGCGGTTCAAGGTTATTTTGCAGATGAAATTTTGCGTCTCGGTTTGGCCAACAAACCAAGACAGTGCGTTAAACAGACGAAATAATGAACGTCAAAGTTTTTCGGTGACGCAAAACAGCTTTTAAATATCTATATATATAAAAGAAAGTCGTGTTAGTTACTTCGCTTATAACTCAAGAACGGCTGAACCGATTTAGCTGAAAATTGTCAGGGAGGTAGTTTAGAGCTAGGAGAAGGACATAGGATACTTTTTATCCCGTTCGAAATTAAAAAAAAGTCTGCTTATTTATTGCCATTAAGGCGGAACAAAGTTCGCCGGGTCAGCTAGTTATTAATAAATACAGCTACCGTCCCAGCTTCGCACGGGTAGTAGAGCAGAATTTTATGTGAGACAAAACTAGCGTCATCAAAACAGAAATTGATGACCACGTGGTTCCAATTGCGAACCCTTTGACCTAAAGTGACTTAAACCTAGATTATACTGGTGGCCATTAAATGTACGAGTAAGTAAATAACTTGAAATAAATCCCTAGTTCTTAATATCGTAACATGGTACAAACTATGTTTGTTCAAGGGGAACGGTAACATAGGTGCCCATTCAATGTTCTATTAATTTTTATTTCATATTTTTACAATAGACAATATGTGGAACAAAGTAATATAACGTAGTTACTGCCTTTTATTGGCACCAGGAAAGATTACTTCCGTAATAAATGCTTCTAAAATGGTTCGTGAGTAATGAACTGTCGTATTGTCATGACGGTTCTGATGCATAGGTCGTTAAAAGCAACCTTTACCTTGACTCTATTTCCCCTGGAGGTTAGAAAGATACCTACCAACCTTACCTATTTCAAATAAGAAATTAAAATAATTCAGTAGTTTTTATTTAGTACAAAAATATTTACGGGTACTTCTTACTACCCAAACCGGTAGTTCTACCTATTCGGATGGTAAAATATTATGTAGTTGTACAGACTTACATTGGGTACATTGTAATACCATTTGGTATAAGTAGAAATTACTTGCTATCTACTATAACGGATAAATCTAGAGCATATCCATTTCTAATTCGTGTATAATTAACGCTCTATAAAAAGACATCCGACATCTTTCATCACGTCGCACACGCATCTTTATTGTCAGTTCTGCCAATCTAGTTACGTAACGCAATATCAACCGACTCTACCACCTCAACAACAGGGAAAGTCGGCATGATTTATGCTAGTTTGAAACGAAAACTTTTAAATTGCTCCAATCTGGTTCGCGCATCAAGTGCCCGCAATAAATTGCCGTGATATGCGAGCCTAGTGACGGCACATTGTGAATTAGGCTGGAAAATCGTGCGCGGCCTTTCACATCGAGTGCATCGACAACCGCTCATTCAATTGATGACGAAGCGCATACAAAACATTGATAAGATCACAATGATATCGGAAACGTGACGATGCGGCTGAATGAAAACGAATAGAATTGTCCCATGAACCGGAAACTCCTGTGACCCTTTGTGCCAAAACCGGTGACAGACGACCCGACGACGTTCCCCATTTAATTTTCCATATTTCCGCCAAACCACTTGCGTCAACTGCGCAGCAGCCGCAACGAGAGAGACGCACATTTGTTATTGTTCCGCTCTCAGTCGCACACCACGCGTCTTTGTTTTGGCGCTGATATAAAAGCTGGTTGCGTACGCGGCGCACGAATTTACCAGAGTACCGCCGCGAACCCAGGCGCTTCGCGTTTCGGTTCGGTGGTAGATGAGCATTCGCGATTCAAAGTGCGCAAAACACTGTTGGTTCAGAGCTTTGACTTATTGGAGTTGTGCAGTGACTTGGTGATAAAGTGCAGTGATCATGAGGCCCCCCACGGACTATGATGGTGGTGACAGGATGCCCGCTGAGGCGAATGAGGTGGACCCTCAGGCTCCGGCGAGGCTGATCTGCGCGCGGCTGGCGGGACACGCCGTCATCAGGGTGGTTGGAAGATGCGAGGACGCACAGGAGAACAGTCAACTCGGTCAGTGGAACAGCTGATATCCTAGTTTATCAAACATTATTATTGATAAGTTCAGTTTATTAGATAGAGACTTAGGAACTGCGTAGTCACTTTGTTTAGTAAACATTTCCTACCTTGCAAACGCAAATTTTGAATCTCATTTGGTTTAAGTAATGAGTCAGTTTTATAGATTTAAAAGTGAGATAATATATTCATCTAATTGATGTCAAACAAAACAAAGTAATCTTATTTTGACTCACGTAATCTTAATCAGCTGGCTGTTTTGTTATTGTTTACGAATTAAACAAAAGTGTATTATGTAGGTACTTACTTATCAAATTGCGCCGGACAGTTAATTATCTGTTGATTTGATCAGATAGCTGATATAAATCGTCACGAAATACAAGTACATTGACCATTAAACATACTTAAGTAAATGTTCGACATGTTCTAGTTTTCTCTATCATCAGAAATTTCAGTAAAATTTTGTGTCGATTTCAAATCGTTATTTTCCAGTTCATTACACCAATTCATTATACCAGTTCATTATGGCAAAGTACCTACCCTTGAATATAGGCATCTTTCAAATTCAAATATTTATTTGCAAAATTTTGGGTAAACATAGTGGTCTTAAAACTAGTATAAGTAGATCGCCAAAATTTGCTGTATATGTAATTAGTGAGCGTACGAATATTTAAATAATTTCTACAAGAATAAATTACAAATATTATGTCATTTACTACATGAAAATAATTAAATATCTCAGAAATAGAAAAAATAAAACAATGTCAAAACAATCAAAATAAATTAAATCAAACAATAAAATAATGTCATTAAAAGAATAATTATTAAAAATAAGTAATAAATGTCATTTTCGATTAAATGCATAGTTAAGTATAGAACTTGTATTATTAATCCTAATATTATTGAAATCTCAAGTTCAACCCCTATAAAACAGATTTTTTTACTGAGTGTGTATGTGAACTCGCCCAATCGACCCAAACTCTAAGGCTACGAGATTAAAAAACTACCAAGTGCGAAGCGAACTGGTACACGTAGAGTTCCGTACTTATAAACAAAATAAATACTTTAGTTAATCAAACAAAAAACATGTTATTCACGTGTTGAAGTATCAACTAAATTGAACAGGAACTCCTGTTTTCGTAACATACCTAACTGTTTTAACATACATTAAGTAAATGATAAAAATATGCGACCATGACATCTTGACTCGACCGATTTCTAAATCACTTTGACGTAGGTATACGTATTGGTTTAACATTCGGTAAAAGATGGTCATTAGGTCATCTAGCACTAGCCTCAAAAACTTATTAGGTACCTATATGAAATAAATTATATTAATCTTATCTGATAAATAATATCTGTCTATTCGTCACACTCAATTAGATAGTAAATAAACAATGAGTAATTGAGATTACCCTATGATACCTACCGGACTATGACTTGATTCACCAGAAACTAAAACCACTGCAACGAAACATTTTGCGCAACTTTGTTTGAAATTAACTGTTGAATCATGTACGGGTTTGTTTTAGTAAGACTACCTGCAGACTTTTTGTAGGCCAATGGTTGAATAGGGTTGTTAATCCGTATGAAAGTAGCTACACACATTACACCGATATGGTATCGGCTGATTCCTCATACAAATTAGAAGCCGACCCAACTATCGATCGATAAAAAGTCTGTAGGTAATCTTAAGAGTTAATGTAGAATTACTAAAAATGCGTCAAGTTTTTTCAAGCAACCCTAATTGTTAGAATTATTTTATTTATTTATTAATAAAAGTGTTCAAGTTTTTTCAAGCCTGACGGTCAAAACGTCTTATTGCACCATTTCTTTAAATACACCGAAGTGTAAAGTGACGAGCCATGCGTGCAGTTCGTTCGCTGCAGATCATTGGACGGAGGAGTTTGACTCTATACATAAATAACTTCAAAATCTGTTTTATGCGGCCTGACTTTAACTTGATAATACGATTTAACTACATTAGATTAATTAACACTTATAGAATTAAATCCTCTTAGGAATAACATGATGGGCATCCGTTCTTCAGCTTGTTAAATAACTGATTCCTGTTTCAAATTCCGACACTAGCTATTTTGCACCGCCTACTTAAATTCTCTGTTTTGTCTAATTTTCTGGTTAGCTGGAAGAGAATGCCACATGGCATTAAACTCGCCTGTTGTACCACTATTTTTTGTGTGCAATAAAGATTTTAAATAAATAAATAAATAAGGCTAATGTGTGTCCGTCATAAATGTCTATCCGTTTTATAGGGTGCGGTGCATTTTTATCCTACTTGTCAAGATGTTTTATACTGCATGACATGTAACCTCCTGAAATTAATTAAATGATTGCCTCTGCCTAGTGCCTTGTGAATTGACCTCAAATTGTGGCTCATCGATTTCTCGTACTTAGTACTTAAGTAGCTAATTGAGCAACCTAAATACAGTTAATTTTAACTTCTTCATTAGTGATCCTTCTCATGCTTATATTACAACTATTTATCTTGCGCAAATTATTTTGCCTTTGTGATTAATCTGCGTGTCTTGTTTATTTTAGAAGGTAAGAAGTATGTAATTAATATGAGGTAAATTGTATCTTTTTACTAAAGTTAGTGCTAATCAAATTTTAATTTCACTGTCATGGACAATAACAATAATAGGCATGAACATTTCACATTATTTAATTTTATTGGGAATTTATGGTCTATACCTACTTACTCGTATAATGTTTTAGTCACTCGAGATCCGGGTTCGGTTCCAGCAAGGACGCATTAAGAATCCCTTTCAAGTGACTCACAGTTATCGTGAGATTTACCTTATTAAAAGCGCTCGTCCAGTCGATGGCACTTTCTTATTTTTATGTTTTGAACTTTTGAATTAAGTATTATGTGTGTGACTACCCGGAAATCGCACACAAAACCTTTGAGGAAAATAATCCAATACTCTAACCAACCACTAAGCTATGGAGGCGTTGCCAATTTACTCGTACGATATGTAGGTAGTGTAGGTACCTACGAATTGTGTCACAACACCTGTTACTTATTTTCTCTACTAGTCATCACGCCAACCATCGCGTAACGCTTATTTTCCACTGACGGAAGTTTCTGCCACTGTTACGATCGGGCCTAGTACGAACAACAGTGGTACGAACAAGTTTATTCTCGAGGACATCATCGGGGAACCGCAATAGCAACATTTATATCACACGATTGTCGATCTTATGCGATGGATATAAAACTCTAATACCACAGATCTGATGGATAATTATGAGAATTTTAACTCATTTACGCAACGCACAAACTTACGAGTGTTGCGCTCGCCCGCCTTTCGTAAACGAAGATCGCGTAAAACTTGTGAAATTGACCAAGGTCGGTCTGGAGCGCTTATTGGCCTTTGTCACGGAGATTAATTTTGTGTTTTAAGTAATTAATTAACACACTTACCTACACTGATTATTAGAGTGTAATTACAAAAGGCTTCTCTGCATATAATTCTAAGATTCAAATTATTGTTAAGTTTTGGCCATTCTTTGTCTTTTGTGTGGCCTAGTTCATTCAAAACCCAGTCCAGTGACAGTATTTCCTTGGTTCGATACCCAGTTTAAGCAGAATATTATCAAAGTTCTGCAACGTTCGTTCGTTCGTTTCAGCCAAATGACGTCCACTGCTGGACAAAGGCCTCCCCCAAGGTTTTCCACAATGAACGGTCCTGCGCTGCCCGCATCCAGGCTCTTCCCGCGACCTTTACCAGATCGTCGGTCCACCTAGTAGGAGGCCTGCCCACGCTACGTCTTCCAGCCCGTGGTCGCCACTCGAGAACTTTCCTGCCCCAACGGCCATCGTCTCTACGAGCTATGTGCCCCGCCCACTGCGGTTACTTGGTTCTCCTGCGGATCCTTTGAAACTATCAAAGTTCTGCTACATCTAAGTTTAATAACCGTTTTGATATGAATAAAATTATTTGTTGTAAGTTAAATAATTTCTACTTCTTGTTTAACCTAAAGAAAATGCGTGAACCCTTAGCCTAACAAAAAAGTTATTCTACAATACCCTGTTGTACCATAACAAGACACGGAAGATAATCAACTCTACTTACAACTACAATGGATCTAGTAGGTACGTACTTAGGTGCGTATACGCGGAAGAGTCATGTCTATCGCGTGCTTGAGAACTAAGCCGCGTACGATCGATTTAGAACATCCCGCAGACGTGTGCGCACTGATTTACCGACGCAAACACCTAGTTGGCCTTAGCAGAGCAATTTATTCCATATAAAGTGAAACTGCTGGAGAGGTCACTGCTCGTTCATTACGCTTCCTTGTATCATGGTGATTCACAAAGAGCGGAGAGACTAGCTTCGACAAGCCTATTTATCTTATTGACTGACTGATGGATTACTGTAATCTGTTACGGTCTAGATACAAAGCCAAAGGTTGCAGGTTCGAATCCCGCGTGGGCAAATATTAGTGAGTCAGTCATTCGATTTAAAATAAATTAAGTATGATAATAAAGTTTTCCATTAATTTTATGTTAATACAAATGTTTATTTTAAAATAAAAAATAAGACAAAATAATATTTATAATAAAAAGTGAAAGCTTTACTTTCTATTATTCATTTGTTCTAATAAACACGAAGTAAATTAAAAACATTCAATGTCAAAAATGACACTGACAAACAGCTGATGATGGCATTTTCAAAATCGTGATTGTGTTGTGGAATGAATCAACACAAAGTTATGAAATTACAAATAATTATGCAATACTTATATAGTTAGTGAAATCCTATAATTTATGTTTTAAATGATGCATCTATAATTTGACATAACTTTTATACAAATAAAACATATTGCTTCAGAAGCAGAAGTTAATCTCAAATTCTAATTCCGCAATGAGAACGTAGTGAAATTTTATAAATAACTCGGAGAGAGCTGACTGAAACTTGTAACGCAATTCAGTTTCGCGTGTGTTACCGCGTGGAATAACTCACCCAATCGATAGAAATAATCCAATGGCTCTCGCCGTGACACGTGTAATTCTACGGTGCGAAGATGCACAGGAGACGCAAATATTAGGTACTTACAGACTAAATTACTTCTAACTCTACCTTGCGCCTTGTAACCTCAACACTAGTTAATATTACTGATGATGTAACTGCATTGAGCGCTCGTTTCAGCTCCAATAACCGATATTTTGGCACAAAATATTTGTTGCTTCATGCAATTTGTGGTGTAAACGAGTTAACGGTGCACAGAATCAATAAATATTTTTTGTGGTCAGTGTGATTAACGCTGAATGTATTTGAATTTTTATTCACACTGACCTACTTCAATAGTTAAAGATATTTAGAGCTTTATTCATGTGTAAAAGGTGTGTGAGATCAATCAGTTTGATCAGAATTCAGACAATCTACTGACTTGAGTACTGTCTCTAACTTATGTATCTAAAGCAAGGGTAACACAATTTAAACAAAAAGTATGTGCATGAATTCATAACAACGAGGGCGATTTCCTATCACATTCTATAGGGACTTTAGTGATTACAAAAGTGTCCAACACAACACAATGCTAATTGAAATATTAATCCATATAATGTTGAAAGTGATCATTTCAATTGCAACAGATTATATTCTTTGTAATAAACATCGTCAAATCTTTTATTGCACAACATCAATAGGTACATGATTATTTATCTGATACGAAACACAATCATAATAAAATTTTGTTTTCTTTGTTTCCAGACTTGTCCGAGTGTCAGCTAATGCAAGTACCGGATGCTGTGTACCACCTCATGCGTCACACGGAGCTCAAGAGCTGTGATCTCAGTGGCAACGTTATTACTAAGATACCTCCTAAGTTTGCAGTCAAATTTAGTTTAATTACAGGTAAATTCCTTCGTATTTATTTTATGTATTTTTTCTTTCTCTTTATTAAATTAAAATTCTCATCACACAATAGTTGCATTATTAGCTAGTTGCACAGCTGCACTATTATTATATGCAAATTATGCAATAAACATGTAAGTTGTTGCAAAAAACAGTAACTTCTTTACACCTTTTATTTTTATAATATTTTTATTTCATGGGTCTCATAGAACTAATAATAAACTTGAGTTTTAGATAATGGGTCTGAATTCACTTTACTGTCTGTTCCACCCTAAATGTATGCCTAATCTTCCAAGTGGAGGCTAATTACCTGTTAATGGTGATGACCCTATCTATAAATGATACTTACAGTTTTACCATTCTACAGACAGCAAATTTATCAACATAACCAATCTATTTTCCAGATCTAAACCTGTCAAATAATCAAATGGCGCGGCTGCCGGACGAGCTGTGCACCTTAGCTTGCCTGCAACGGCTCGACATATCGCACAACACATTCGTGGCGCTGCCCGGAATCGCCTGCCAGTGTCCTAGTCTTCACACATTGTTGGCTCACCACAACCAGATTATTGGTAAGAATATACTTTGATATCGTCATTTTAAAAGGTTGTGTGAGTGTTCGCAGATTCGGCTCGATATATCGCACAACACAGTCGTGGTTTGTTTTGTACAGTCGAAAACACATTTTTGTTGTAAAGTAGCACCTATTTTTATATCGTAGATCCTGACCTTAGATGTACTTAGTATGGCTAACGCCTGGCGTTTTAAGTTTGATTGACACTTAATTGTTATACCCCCAATAGATCAAGGATAAGTTTTCACCTTCCATGAGGTGTTAGAATCGTCATAAAAGTACAAAACTTATTGTTATAAAATTGTTATACACCGTAATGATATTTTCGTTCTCTTAATGCCGACATACAACCTGATAGAGTTAACTGCGCACCTCGCTGGAATGAAAGAAAGAAAGAAGAAAGAAAAATAGTTTATTTGGTTCAAACAAACGTTTTACACAATTTAAATTACACACATAATTTATTGAACCATAATGGCTCCTGCTCAGCTTGTATCATGTTCCATTCAGAACATGAATGCTGGTATTCTGTAGGCTACTCTCCCTCGAACTTACGTTACGCACGAAGTGACGTCACGGCCGCCAGGTGCGCAGTTAACTCGACCGAGTTGTACTTTCTTATCACGCTACGTCATTTTCTACAAAGGTCTATGTTTTATTTTACAGAGGTCGATGTCGATCGGTTAGCAAGGTCGCGAGCCCTCGAGTATGTGGATCTCAGTGACAACCCCATCCCGCCTCGGATGCACGACGAACTCAAGCAGCTGTCGCGGCCATCCGTCACCGTCTCGGAAAGACAAAAGGAGGATTGGGAAGAAGACCTTTTGTTATAAGATAATGTGTTCTCCATTGACTGATGCATTCTGGGCCTTACATTGTGTACAAATGATTGATCAAGTAAAACTAGAACAGACACATAAAACTGTGCGCATGCCAATTCGTATATTGGTTACTTTTAAGAGTGAATTGCGACTAAACGTATATTCAAATGGCCACGTGGTCGATTTGTGCGTACTTTTATAAGACCCGCGTATGCACCGAATCAAGTCGTACGCCCCGCGCACGCCACGTGGCATTATGCCAAATGCCAAAGTGCGTCGCATGAACTTTGTATGGGATGTCAGTTTTAGTACATGTAATTAAATTGTAGAATCTGGATATCAGATATGGTGCTGATGATACTCACGTAAGGCCCTAATTTAGCTGTGATCTGTCTTTGTAAAAGAGGACAATAACATTATGTATAGTAAAAGTGATCTTTGTAGAAAATATTATACATGAACAAATTTATAGTCTATCTTCTAGGATAAGATATCAATTTATTGATAGTGCTTTACTTTGGAAGTATTTCAATGTACTTAAATTGTACTAGCTATAGATAAAAGCTCACTTAAGAGAAATATGATTTTATAAGATTTATCTAATTTTTGTGTAAGTAATTTTAACATTGAGTGCAATATACTATCTTGACAGAAAACTGAAGCATGTTTTTAATAATAAATATTATTAAAAGAGAAAAAGTACATACTTTATACATATAATTAACTGATCATGGTTTTAATGTTAAATACTAGTCCATCATGTAATGAGATAAAGTCAGAGGAACAAAAAGTACTTTAATATGGTTCAATCAAAATGGATTTTAGTGTTGATATCTTTAGTTGTATAAACCCTTATTTGTAAGAATATTAAAAAAAGTTCAATGAGATTTAAGTTTCAACATAGATTTTGGTATTTTCAACATAATACAATAATGGTAATGTAGGTATTGTTGACATACAAATATTTATTGAATACCTACCAAAAAATTGTTTCACAGATCGTCCAAAGAAAGCTTTGACTGAACTTTGTAAACATTTATCTCTGAAAGGAAATTTTACTAGATTTTCTAGGAATAAGTCTTTGTGCTGTGTTTTATACTACGAACTGTAAATCGATTAATTAATAAAAAACATGAAAATGTTATATTCATTTTATTTTATTTCTATCAAAAGTCTAATTAAAGTTCATTTTGCATTATTAATAAGATTCCATCAATGTTCACAACATGATTTACAACAGTTTGTTTTATGGATGTAGTCAGAAAGGACTAAAGTTATAACATCAATGTGAATTATGTAAGCAATGATATTAGGTAAGTAGGTATGTGAGAAAACGGGATCCCACGTACGAAGTCCCTGGCGGTCGCTAGTAAATAATAATTGAGTTCATATGCAGTGGCAAGTGACTCGAATTTATAAAAAAGCTTCATGATAATACCTCCTTTTATATCTTAAGCTATTGGCCACAAACAACATACATGATGCCTCATTTCCGAAAGAAAAAAATGACGATACGTCTGCATCCTTCAGACGTGTCAACTTGCCATCCACAGCGTTAATTTTTGGAATCGCGTTTTTTATGTACTAAACAACTAAAAATAGTAATAAAACCAACAAAAAAATGGCTGGCCATGGAGTGGACGACGATCCAAACTTAAAAGGCCTCAGTCGGTACTTTAATAGTCAAACAAATAGAGGACGGGCCAACGTAAGTACCTACTACATCTTTTTGCGTTTTGGTATAATAATATGGCTATCACCGCTGCTGGGCCACAGTCACACATTGCGATAACATTTGGGCGACAACGGAGCGAAGACTTGCGACTATGCAAAAAAGCACCGAAGTATAGGGAAATACTTTGCGTGTTCGATATTTTGATTTTTGATCATTTCTTAGTCGATATGTCGTCGGTAACCCACACATCACGATAGCTCGAACCTTTCGATTATCGAGAATATGTGGCCCAGGATTTATAGCTGTAGCTGCATTGTAGCTAGATGTAGCCTTCCTCACAAATACCTAGGTGTATGCGGTACCATCCTAGCTGGTACTAACACAAACTTACAACTTAAATACTTTAAATATTTAAAAAAGTTTCCTTATTTTACAGACATCAAAAGTAACCGTAGCTTTTTGCGCACTATACTACGTCTACTATAAATTGTTCAAATCTCACAAAAAACCTGCACCAAAAAAATAAAAGATGGCGCCAAACTATAGTAAGTACTTGACAGTGATATTTCAAAAACAATAGTGAAAGCATTACTTAAATAAGTTTAAAACGCTTGACCAGGAATCGAACCCGTGACCACACCGGACTAAGCCCGATTTCAACATTCATTCCTTCCCGCTAAAAAAACCATTACTGCGTTTCGTTATCGCACTGATTGAGTAAAGATCTTATTTAAAGTAATAAAATCAATTAAAAAAATGATATTATTCATCACACATAAATTCGCATACTTTCTACGTGTATGACAATAAAGATACATAGGATTAATTTAACCATATGTAATTTAATGTAAAAATAATAATCGGAAACGTTTAGTTATCAAGTATTTTGATTTTTGACAGTTCAGTTTGGTACAGTGTTTCGTGAATTACATAAGGCTGAAATAAAATTTATACAGGTAATATTATAAGTGCGATTTTGTAGTTATAATACATGCACTATTTTATTTGAAAACCCAATCATCCATAATATGAAAAATCATTTTACCGAGATCCTGAATTACAAACATAAACTAAGTATTACGTTGTACCATTGTTTTCAGGATGGCCGGAGACTCCTCTGTCGATTCATCCCAGCTCAAGGGACTTTCCAAGTACTTTAACAGCCAGACCAATGCAGGCAGAGCGAACGTAAGACTATAAATTATTTTTTACTTTATCTTAATATTATAGGTTAGGTTCAATAAATTGTCAGTATACTGTACATCACCTCTAACTGCATTGGAAGAAACTCCTATGTTCTTCTAAATAATTTTGTTGCGGGTCCAATGACAGTTTAACTTTCCCCTGGGACAAACTTGACCTTCACTGGTTGGGTTTTTATTGACGGTTAAGCTGCAAATCCTGGCTACATAGGAGTTGTAGCGGTAGGAACGAGAGGTGTGAATAATCATTTCTAGTACATCACGTCTTTAAAAAATGTGTTCTATGTTATTTGAGTAATTAACATTGCAAATATTACTAAGTAAATCTTTTGATACTGAGAAAAATGTTTTGCCACCTCAAATCTGCGCCTAATTGTAGGTAATTAAGCCATGGTCCCATGTATTAAATATTGTATTACACAGTATTAAACAGTATGTAGTCCCATGTATTAAGGCGATTAGAGTCCTCAATGACCTTGGGCGTTTGACCTTCACGCCGCGCGAAACACCCGCGCACCCCGCACGAAAACTCCGATTTGACACCGATCAAAATTACACGGGCTTAGGTAGATACAGAATAGAAGCTCTTTTTTCATGACATTACTGCCTATTATTTTAAACTCGAATTGATGAACCTTGATGACTGATGTCGGTGTCATTTAACTCAGGCGTAAAGGTATTTAATAAAAATAACACAATCCATGAACATTTTGTACGGGATATTTTTTTTTTTTCGTAAATTTTCTAATGTTTTTGTCGGTTCAGCCGTTCTCGAAATTTGAACATGTAATATGTAGGTAACTTCGGGTGGAATCTTGCAAGCTGAATTTGTTAGACCAACTTCCTGACGACAACTGTAGGTATTGGAACACATAGTAGTTAGTTTTGTCTATGGTTTAAAAAAGCAAATGTTTCTTCTTTTGTCTATTGTCATTCTCTTTGTGTCACTTATGAAGAATAAACTGAAAATGTGTTTAATCTCGTCTTTTTATTAGAAATCCTTCAACAACTGATTGAGTTAAAATTTTGGATATATGTACATGTAATTCGGATGACAATGCAATATTGTGATGACATGGAGNAATCTATTCGTGCAAAAATCTTTTAAATTAACATAGCCGTTTTGGAGGAGTAGGGAAATTAAGTAAAAAATCGATGTCCCGTATTTATTTTTTTAATCCAAAACAAAGAGACGTAGCGAAAATTCAAACGTCACAAATGTAGTCCTTGAACTGTTGTAAAACATATATTTTTTTCAACTATTTCTGTCCAGCAGTAAAAGAGGAGTAGGCTTTACAAAATGCCCATTTGACGCGGATTGAGGACTCTAATCGCCTTAAACAGTATGTAGACAATCTGAAAGATAATGTTCTTCCGAAGAACCCAAGTTAATAACTATGATTTAAATAAATTGTTTGTTTTTTGTTCCAGACGGCCAAGGCAACTTATGCATTCTTCGGTGCAGTAATACTGTACTTGACTCTGAAACCCAAGTCAAAGAAGTAATCTGTTTATATTGTTATTTTAGCCTCATGCTAGCTATTTAATTTCGATAAGGGCAATGTAATTGTTTAGTGCTTATTAAATCATGTAAAATTCATCAACTGTTGTTATTTGTATTTCAATTATTCCTACTTTTTATTTCAATTATTCCTACTTTTAACTCTGTTTTTATAAAACTTTATAAAACTGGCTACAGAACTAAAACTACAGACAACAGTATGATTTTATTCTTAGCATACCTACCTTCTATTTATAGATACAACTTTCTGAATTATGAAGAACCTCGAATGAAAGTAGTTTTTATGCAAATTTAAATAGTGGGTATTTTCAAGGTAATTTCGGTCTTACATGTCTTACATTTAATTTTATTGTGTTTATTTCTAGGAAAAGAAATAAAACAAACATTTTGAAATAAATACTTATATTGATAATTTCTATATAATATGCATCATGCATGAAAGGGAAACAAATGTTGATAACAGATTCAAACGTAATTATCAATATTCAGATCTTGAAGCAACAGAATTTTAGGACATAAGTGGGAACTTTTCTAGCAGCATAATCTTTGGTGAGATAAATACAGGTTTTCAGCAAAACTAATATAAAACTAAATAACGGCCTGGTGCAAGTAAACAATGGAATTACAGAAGTAAGTTTTCTGACAAGCCGTTTTTAAGAAAGGTATACATATTTTGCTTAAGAGCGTTTACGTCTAGCGTGGCATGTCAAGTTTAGGTAATTTCGATGCTATTTTTATTCACACTAAAATAATTATGACTGTGTGCGTGTTCTCACGCTCTGTAGTCAAACCAAAATACTTTGATCCACCATCGTAAAAGTGTGCCAGGCTGTCAAGTGACAGCCCAAAGAAACTATAAAATCTTCAAATCTTCCAACACCGACTCCATAATTATAAATAATGGTATACATTAGTCCTAATCAATAATAAATACGTAAATTCTTTATCAAATAGTAAATTATCAAAGGTTTTTTACTATTTTGAGAATATTTTATACAGCCTAAGTTCAGCAAAAAAATTTGGAATTTTAATGGTGAGAGATTTTTTCAAATCGTTTACTATTCAATACAAACTTTTCCTGTTTACTATTCTTTTTTTATCCGGAAAATGCATAACATATCATACCCACCAGCTGCGGGGGCAGCTAGTGGGTTATGTGGGGTTCTTCCTACCAGAAGGTGGGTAGCCCCTACACCCAATAAAAACCTGACTGTTTCTTCCATGATCCATATGAGTGATATGAGGGAACGCGGGACATCGCCATTGGCTGTTGCCTGTAGCATTCGTCCTTAGCCGCCACCAGACACCTCCATGTCTAGCGACCGAGGCCTGTTAGGAAGGGACAGTTGGAGAAAATTTTCGTCATTCGTTTTCGTTTCATCGCTAAAAATAACTTAATTTTATTTTTCATTACGTCTGAAATAGAATTTGTAGTAAAAATAGACTGTAATGAAAAATAATAATAAAATATTTTAATTAT